TCCTATTTGGGAAGGAAAAATCATTCCAAACTTAACCCTTTCTGCCAAAGTTGCTCTTATTTCAGGAGTCAACTGGCCTTCCTAGTTGTCCATGTCAACTGCACTTGTCAGAGTTGGGGAAATAACCACAGGGTAAGTGCAGGAGGTAACATTTCCCAAAGATTTCAGGGAATACTGGATAACTGTGACTGTTCCATATGGAAAATTTGGAGTATGCTGGGAAAATATGAGGAATGACTTTAGGTGTAATGACGTCTAGGGTGGTCTCCTTGATGGAACAGGTTAATTGGGCAAATGCATTCTTCTCTTGTCCTACCTACATGGACCACTATAAGCAGCTTGCCTTCACCTGGTAGCAGCACACCTTCACGATTCAGCCTGAGAGATGAACAACTCTACAGTTTTGCATAACCAGATCCTCAAGACCTACCTACACCATCCATCCCCAGGACAGCATGGCAGGGGGCCACTCATTGACACCATGCTTATTCTAGACAACTGGAAGGGGCAAGAATCCCAAGTTTCGTGGTCAAACATCTATACTTGATTGGGTCCTTCAGGAAAAATTTGCCACTCACAAATTGCTGGTCCATCCTGCCTATCCCACAAAGCCTGGTGGGCCTCCTCCCATCTTGGTGAAAGCACTTACTTTTGGGTGTTCTGCTCCAAATGCATTTACCAGGTAGACCCCAAATCTACCACCCACAAGTGGAGTCTTGAACAAGACATTCTCTGGGTGGTCCAGGCTGCAGTATGATTCTGGCAACTCTGCCCCTTGAAACCCTGCAGAGCTCATTGTCTGTAGCAGATCCAATCCCTACTAGGAACTTGAGGCAAGGATCTGAAGAGACTCTGGTGTTTTGAGCAAGGCCATGTCCATCAGGTTAACCATCCAGGGTTCTGTGGAGATCAGGCATTCTACCCTGGGGCATCACATGACTCTGCAACCTGGACTGGATGGGATCTGAGGCTACCTGCGCACCTGGCTGCACTCTATGTTCCATTAGAAGCAGGTGCAATGGCCCTGGGTTTGAGTTAACCCTGAAGGTACCAATAAGCTGCCTAGTGGTGCCTATACCAGCAAGGTGGCTGTGGCTAGAGAATAAAAACGTGACACTTGGTTTCCAGGTGGTTCTGCATGACATAACGGCATCAGCAGTGAATGCTGAGTTCCATCCCCATGCTGGACAGCAGTGGAATTAGCCCAAAGACAGAGCTTCGAGGTCAGCGTGTCCTCTGTCTGAACAGACAGATGGCTTGTGTCTGGATCCTGGTACAGAGGCCTTGGAAAGAATGAAACTGGAAGATGGAGACAAGGAGGTCCAGGGAGGAGTATGTTACATAAAACCGGACTTCCTAACACGGGCCTATGTGCCACATCACCAAAGGCTTCTTCCAGTGCAGGGGGCCAGATGGTCCACTCTTCACCATGATGAAGCCGGAGGCCATGGAAGACGTCGTCAAACCATGTGTTTCCATCAGGTCTCACTCCAGATGCCTCGCACCTTAAAAGCAGGGATGCCACTGTGCTCTGGCTAAAGTTGTTGCCAGGGGAGAAGAGCTATTACCGGCCTGAGGAGGGAGGCCAAGGTTCTCAGGAGTGCAGTGCTCTGAGGGCTGGGTGCCAGGCACCACCTCTGCTTGAACCTTATTACCTGCTTTCTCACCTGCAATAAGAGTTGCCCATATACCCTAAAAGGTTTTCATTTCTTGGGGGTCCCTAGGCCTTCCCTGCAAAGTGGGAGTCATGGAGAGAAGCTGGAGTTCATGTGCATGGCAGCAAATGGAAGCTGCTCTGGTTGAGAAACATTCCTCCAGCTCATCCCAGACACTGCTTGAGGGCCTGCATCTGAACCGGGATTACGGATCTATATACTCTCTTCATCATCACAGGCAGTCCCGGTACCCCCAGAGTTTGGTTCAAGTGCTTGCTAAGCCACACTAACCTCAAAAAATCTTGGTCAACCAGGTCTCCCCTGCCAGCAGCAATCTGCTGAGTGGCCCAAGGGCGCTGGCAATGCCAGGGCAAATGTAGTCACTGAGGCCATGGGTGGACAGACCCATTCCTAATGGTCTCCCTGCTTTTAAGTCACACACCTGCCAATCCTAGCCTGGAATATTTAACTCTTCATGGCTTCATCACCTGTAAGGCAAAATACCACCTCTTTGTGGAACCCAGAAGAAATGCGGTCTCCTCTTTGCCTTCTGGGTCTTGGATACACCAGACTCTGGCCAGCAAAGCCCAGTATAGAGCAGAGGCAGGCCCCTGGCCAATGGTTAGCTTGTGGCTCAGGTCCTGGGTGACATCTGCTCCAGGCTAGAGCCCTAAAGCTCCAGATGAGAGATCACTACACTTTTCCTGTAAAAAAAAGTTAAATATTTTAGGCTTTGCAATTCATATGGTCTCTGTTGCAACTACTTGTCTTTGCCACTGTAGTAAAAAGAAGTCAATGAATGGGTATGGCTGTGTTCCAACAAAACTTTATTTACAAAAACAGGAAGCAGGCACGTTTGGCCCTCAGACTGTAATTTGCCCATCACTACTCTTGATGATACTCAGATGACCTGGCAGGCTGAGGGGGCTGTGGCCCTGTCTGATCCTCTGTGAGATGGAAACCACTCTAGGGTCTCCTGGTGTGCTGAGGCTCTACACAGGGGCAGAACAGGGCACTGTGTCTGGAAGTTTCTGACCAAGTGTTGACAGCAGAGGGCAAAACGTGAAGGCTGTGCTGGATAAGGCTGAACCGTCCTCATAAGCAGCACCAACTGCTTTATTCCAGGTCAGGGCCAACTCTTCCACCACAATACCAACATGGTCCCTCGGCGGGCACTGTCTTTACTAGGCCCCTAGGAGTCCCTGCGTTGTGACCTGACCACCAGCCCCTCTCTGGTGATGGCCCAGTTGTAGTTCTTCGGGGAGTCCAATGCTGCTTCCACCCGTGCCTCCAGGTTCTCTCGGGTGATGAAATTTTTCACCTCTTCCTATCGGGAGAGAAAAGCCCAGCTCAACAGGAACCCCGGGCACATGCCAGCCAGCCCACCCAGCCTGCTGGCCTCTCACCCCACTGAGAAAGCAGCTCCCACTCGCCCTGGGGAAGCATGCCTGGAGCCCAGGTCCTCTTTGAGAGCCCCTCTAGCCTCCCAGTGGAGTGATAATCAGGTTGCTTTGCTACATTGCTCTTTTCTCAGACACTTTAGCCATAGCCCTGAGCGCCAGCTATGAAAAGCTCAAGTCCTGGTAGGTGAAATTCATCCCTCAGTGGTCCCCTCTGAATCACTATAACTCGTCCTTCCTCCTATTACTTTATTACTTTATTTATTTATTTTTTTGAGACGGAGTCTCACTGTCGCCCGGGGTGGAATGCAGTGGCTCCATCTCGGCTCACTGCAACCGCCGCCTCCTGGGTTCAAGCGATTCTCATGCCTCAGCCTCCCCAGTAGCTGGGATTACAGGCGCACACCACGACGCCTGGCTAATTTTTGTATTTTTAGGAGAGACGGGGCTTCACCATGTTGGCCAGGCTGGACTCGAACTCTTGACCTCAAGTGATACGCCCGCTTAGGCCTCCTATAGTATTGGGATTACAGGTGTGAACCACCGCTCCTAGCTACCCTTATATTACTTTAAATCAAGCCTCATCCATTCTCACTGCATTACTCCTAAGTGGTCTCCCTGCTTTTAAGTCACACACTTGCTAATCCCAGCCGTGAAATATTTAACCCTTCACGGCTTCATCACCTGTTATGCAAAATACAACCTCTTTGTGGAACACAGGGTCCCTCCCACAGACCTGCTAGGCACCTGAACACTGTCCAATTACTCTGCTCACCTCCGGGTCTTTGCGCCTGACTGGCACTCTCTCTCCTCTCCCAAATCCTGATCTGCCAACTCTAAGTCTCTGCACATAGCCAGCGCCCGCGTCGCGGTACCCAGAATTCCCAGTGCCCCGCAAGCCGCGAACCCAACTGGAGTCCCACCCTCCGGAGGCGTTGCCCACCTGCAGCTGCAGCACTTCCCGTTCCTTGCGCTGCACCCAGGCCTGCATCTCTTCGGCCTTGCGGGCCTGCTCCAACGCCTGCCGCTGCTCCTGCTCCCGTTCCTCCTGCCGCAGCCTCGCTATCCTGTGAGGGTCAAGGGGCCGAGGCTGAGCGGGGCCCGGGCTTCTCCCAGGTCTGCCAGGCCGCCCCGCCCCGCCCCGCCTCCCGCCCCGCCTCCCGCCCCACGCACCGCAGCTCGTGCAGTCGCCGGTTCTCCTCCTGGTTCCAGGCCATCAGCTCGCGGTGCTCAGTGGCGTACTTCAGGGCCTTGCGCTCCGCCACAACTCCGGCTCGGGCCTCGTACGCCTTCCTCCGCACCTCGGACACGAACTCCTTCCTGGGTGCAGACGCGGCAGGAATCGGCAACCTCTTCGCCCGCCCCCACCGTCCCCAGCGCGCGCGGACGGCCACCTCCCCCCGGCCGCACACCTGAGGGCGCGCACGGTCTGGCGGTAGTGCTGGTAACGCTCCATCAGCACGAAGAACTCCGCAGGGTCCACCGGGGGCGGCATGTTCACGCGCCCGATCTTGGATTTGGCCGGCGGGTCGTAGCGGGTCTTGCGGCCGCGCACTGGCAGCACCAGCGGGGTCCGGGGCCCGCACTGGGTCCCCGCGCCCAGGCGGCTCAGCGCGCGTAGCATGGCCGCGACTCTTCACTGCGGCCGCGCTGCCGGAACGCCACCGTGCCCCGGAAGCGGCGCGGGGCACCTTGGGACCTGTAGTCCTCAGGCTGTCCCTCACACCTCGCCCGGCCGTGTGGCCTCTGGAACCCAAGCCGCGACCCTGCGGACGTCCGCACCCAGCCCCCAGGCTCTGGCCCAGCCCTCCCGCCAGGGCCCCGGGCCATCCCTTCGTTCCTCCCTCCCGCGGGGCCGGACCTGCCTCCCTCCAGCCCCCACGCAGGGAAAGGTCTCAGCGGGGAAGAGAGGGAGGGGACGAAGGACAGAATTCGAGGCAACAACTTCGGAGAACCTCACACTTTATTGGAGGACGGCGGGACGGGGCGGGGCTCTCGGGCTGCCGTCTGCGGAGGGAGAAGTGGCGGTCAGGCCTCAAGACACTGGTCTCGTGACCGCCGAGCTGCCACCTTCCCGGTCCTCTCCCTTCTTGTCCCCACCAGTCCCCACCTGGCCTCCCAGAGCTGGAGGCGCCCCCGCCTCCCCTAGAAGCCTGAGGATCCAGCGGGTGTGGGGATCTCCAGCTCCCTTGGGCGTGCCCTCTTGTCCACACTAAACAAGCCTGACGCATGGAAACCTGAGCCCGTACACATAAATCAGGCGGTAAGACTTTGCCTCATAGGAACTTACTACTTTCTTCTTTAGTTATCGTGCTCTCCTGATGCACTTTAAATATGTTTGATTTGCAAAATAGTAACAAACCATTTCCCCACGCCTGCCTTCTGCTATGTCTTGGGGAGCTCTGCAGTCCCTGAGATGTTACTAGTGCACATGTCAGTGACCACCTGGTCCTCTTAGCCCTGTTGTCTATTTGCCTGAGGTTGCATCCCTCACCTCTTTCCACTGCCCCAGGGTCTGTCCATTTCAAGACAGTCATTGGCTCAATTATCTCCTTCTACTCTACTAGTGACTTCAGTCTTTAACCTAAGTGTTTTATAAATTGTCTAGAATCCTCCTGGGAAATAGGAAGGATAGCAGACAGCACCCTGCTGTGTGCAGTAGGGGCACTGAGAAATGATTGGTGGTGCTGTGGCAGGGGGCATTCTCAGTGGTGTTTCATTCTCCCCACCCTCCCTGCATCCACCCCTAAGCCACAATGGCCACTGATGACCAGTGGCTGGTCTTGATGCTGGGGACCTTTCATCCCACTCACCAGTAGTGTCTGTGCCAGATATCGCTTCCTGCGAAGGGACCACCACGCCATGGTCCTGCCCTCCCAGGGCATGCTGTCTTCCAGGTGAGCCAGGGCATCACTTGGGAGGCCATAGGTAGCCTGGGCTGGGCTGCCTGCTGCAGTGCCCAGGGCCCTTCCTTAGAAGGGAACTGATGCTGTCCTCCCTACCCCGACCTCAGGCTCCGGGTGGGTGGGGGAGCCCCCAGCCATCACTTTCTTCCTCCCAATCAGGCTGGGAGACACCCACCTGGGGGCCTAAGGGCATTCTGAGGATCCTGGGCTGAGCTGAGGGCTCGCTTTCCTCCAGGGTACCAGCCATGGGACCAGTGCTGAGCCTCTGAGGGTCCAGGGTGAGCAGTCAGCAGCATCAGGAGCAGGAGGAGGCCTCGCCTGGAACTGGCCATGGCTGCTCTAATGGACAGGGTACAGCATTCAAGGAGCCTTACCTCACCCCTACATCCCACCCCCCTTCCTACAGGGCCACCTTGGAAAACTGGCATCCCAGGGGCAGCTTTGGTATCTCCTTATGCCCTTCCCTCTCTGCCACGGCTCTTCATCCCAAGCACACAGGGGTCCAGATCCTGGGGGATCCTGGCCCAGCAGGGGACGATGCTCCAGGGGACCAGCCTTCTCCCTGAGCCCGGGACACAGAGGCTACCTGCCTTGCCAACTCCGAGGGCCCTCCCACTTGTCCAAGCCCATCCATCCTTCCTTCAAGGAGTTTCCAGAAGTGGAAGAAAGTTGGAGGGGAACAGAGACCTGAATTCAGGCCAATGGATGGGAGGATAGATGGATGGTCAGGGGAGTTCTCAATATAGGGGCATCTGGAGCACCAGTGCTAGGCCACAGAGTGGCAGGCCTTCCGCCCTTTTCTCTGTGGCCTGCTGTATCTCTTTCATAGTAGTTGGGGATGTGGAATGGATGTGTGGTGTTGATGGGGGCAAATGCTTCTACCCCTTATTCCCTCCCATGCCAGGGGCAGCAAGCACAATAGATGGTAGAGCTGTTTCGGAGAGGAGAGGAAAAGGGGACTTTTCTGGCATGGTTCAGGGGTGGAGGTGCTTGGGAATGGGGAAGAGGAGCAGCACACCATGGACCCAGGATGAAGCTCGATCCAGGTGTCCCAGCCCTTAGGGAAGGCTCCCCACTCACCGAGGAAGAGCTGTGGATGAGATGGCTCCTTCAGGCGGCTGCAGGACCTTAGCCTGATGGCCCCAGGATTTATAGACCAGGCAGCTCCACCCCCAGACTCCAGTGACGTCTTGAGAGGGGAGGGGGAGCTTACTACCCATCCCCCTTCCCAGAGCATCCACTCCACGAACATTCACCAGGCAGCTGCTGCCCTGAGGCCACCAACAGATGCTCCCTGGCCACCACCTTCCCAGGAGCCTCCAGGCCCGGGACTCCTGCTTCTGGCTGGCCCATGTCCTGGTCTCACCTTCTTACTTGCCAGGCTGCATCTTCAAGCTCCTCATCTTGAGACCTAGAAAGCCCTCACAGCCCTCCCTGACGTCAAAAGAGCGTCCTGGGCAGGGGAAATGCCTGGGGGTTCCCCAACTCTCAGCTCAGGGCTTTCCCTGGTGGAGAGTGGAGGCCTAAGAGTAGGGAGCCTGGCAGGCTGTTCAGAGGTACAGGGGAGGCTGTGACCACTGTCCCAAAGGGCTTGTTTGCTCACTATAGAGTGGGTTGGGTGGGACAATCCACATCCACATACCTGGGAACCAGGGCTGGGTCACTCCAGATGGCTGGGTTTGGGTGGGGCAGTACCTACCCAGGAGTGGCTTCTCTCCTGGCGAAGAAGCGGACCCATGAGAGGGGCCCAGCTGTTGGGCCAGTGCAGCCTCCCAGGGCCATCAGCAGCTGGTAGAATAATTTTGTTCCTCAAGGCTCTAACCCCTCCCCAGTCATGGATTTAGACACAACTATCCTGGCTGCTGGAAGTGGGCTCTTGCCTCCCAGTCTGCGTCAGCAGCTCAGCTTTCCCTGGCCAGCCATCAGCCTCTGGGGGTCAGAGGCCTATTTACAGGGTTAATAGCCAATCTCCGCGCTTGGGCTGAACAGCATATGGGAGGGCCAGGGTCAGGCTTGGCATTGTGGTGGACAGAGTCATTAGGAGAGCTGGTGCATCAAATCCTGTGACAAAGATGGGGAAGGGGAGGCATAATGGGCATCAGTCAGCCCTAGACACCTGGACTTCAGCAGCCAAGGCAGGATGGGCACACCTGTGAATTTCCAGACTGACTTATTAGCAGGGACCTGAAACGAATGTGTGGCCCGTATGTTCAGTTAAATTGTTTTGGCTTAAATACACAGACTTTGTTAACCGGGTGATTTTTAGGAAAACATTTGCTTTGTGGTTTAGTGAAAATGAATCGGCCGGGCGCGGTGGCTCAAGCCTGTAATCCCAGCACTTTGGGAGGCCGAGATGGGCGGATCACGAGGTCAGGAGATCGAGACCATCCTGGCTAACACGGTGAAACCCCGTCTCTACTAAAAAATACAAAAAACTAGCCGGGCGAGGTGGCGGGCGCCTGTAGTCCCAGCTACTCGGGAGGCTGAGGCAGGAGAATGGCGTAAACCCGGGAGGCGGAGCTTGCAGTGAGCTGAGATCCGGCCACTGCATTCCAGCCTAGGCGACAGAGAGAGACTCCGTCTCCAAAAAAAAAAAAAAGAAAAGAAAATGAATCTAAGTTCAATGTACTAGTAGTTTAGTTCTGCTTGGGGTTTACAGAACGTTTTATTCAAAGCTGGTGTTCATTTAAAAGGGGGATGGGTGCCTTTATTTATTCTGTAATTTGATTTTTTTTTTTTTCCTGAAAAATCTAAACCGAGCTAAGCTTCCTGGGGAAAGCTCTGCTTTCCTTTTTTTTTCTGGCAACATACTTAGGCTTTTTTAGAAATGTTTGATGTCCTTTCTAGACTAGAACTCTGAACTCTTGTATCCCTCTCATTAGAACATAGAAAGCCATCTGTTCACCATGGGGCTCCAGTCCTCAGGATATGAAGTCACTGCAGCCTGGAGCTGTGCATACTCAGGTGGGAAAGCAGAGGTTCAGAGGTGAATAAACACTCAGGTGCTGCAGGAGCACAGAAGGACACAAACTGAGCAGGCGACCTGGGTGAAGGACAGAGACAAGTGAGCTGGAGTCATGGACGCAGGGAGTGGCAGCGGAGGGGTGCAGCGTAAGGAACAAAATGGAAAAGGGCCAGCAGGAACTGCTGCGGATCCATGGGGCCAGAGAATGTGGGAGGGTTAGAGGAAAGGAGGGTGGGCCCCTGGGTGTGGGCAGTGGGAGGCAGGCATCTCTGGACAACCCTGACATGCGACCAGGATATGGGGGACTTGGGATTGGAGGAGAGCTGAGGGTCCACAGAGACAGACCCAGAATCCTGACCTCTGAGGGAAGAGACAGTGGAGGAGCAGCTAAAGGGTGAGGATAAGAGGCAGAGGACAGCCTGTGACACAAGGGAAGAGACCATGGATCCCTGGGGTTTAGCACCAAGGTGACCTTGGTGAACAGGGATGAAAAAGAAACGTGTGGGAATGAAATGAGGAAGAGGGAAGAGACAGAGTACAGGCTTTTTCACGTAGTCTCTCATAAACAGGGAAGAACTTAGGCCTGGGGTGGGAGACATGCTGTTTATGTAATTAATTAATTATTATTATTTTTGAGACGGAGTCTAGCTCTGTCACCCAGGTTGGAGTGCAGTGGTGTGATCTCGGCTCATTGCAGTTTCTGCCTCCCAGGTTCCAGCGATCCTGGTAGCTGGCATGTACCACCACACCCGGCTAATTTTTGTATTTTTAGTAGAGATGGTTTCACCATGTTGACCAGGCTGATCTCGAACTCCAGACCTCAGGTGATCCGTCCACCTTGGCCTCTCAAAGTGCTAGGATTATAGGCATTAGCCACTGTGCACAGCCTATTTTTTTGAGACAGGGTCTCTTTGACCCAGGCCGAAGTGCAGTGGCATGATCACGGCTCACTGTAGCCTCTACCTCATGGGCTCAGGTGATCCTTCCACCTCAGCCTCCCAAGTAGCTGGGACTACAGGTGTGTGCCACCATGCCTGGCTGATTTTTGTTATTTTTTTGTAGAGACAGGGTCTTGTCATGTTGCCCAGGTTGGTCTCGAATCCTGGGCTCAAGTGATCCACCTGCCTTGGCCTCCCAAAGTGTGGGATTACAGGTGTGAGCCACTGCACCTGGCCTGCTCTTTATTTTTAATGAAAGAGACTTGAGTATTTGGGACAGGGGAACAAGGAAGGAAACTGCAACCCAGGAGGGACCTGCCCAAATGAAGTAAGGTCTGAGTGTGGCAGGATGTAGGGCTTTGGGTGTGTGGTGGGTGCAGGCTGTTACTCTTCCCCTATGGAGAAACACTCCTACCCTAAGTCCCTTGGGTCACAACTGACTGGCTGTGGGAAGGGCACTGGATGAAGCGGTCACCCCTGCCCTTTCCACATGACTGTGCTGTGTGAGCCTCAGCACATTTTCCTTTTGGCCTACACTAGTTTCTGTTGGGTTCACCTCTCTTGTAAACATGCATGCCCCAAGTAGAAAGCAAAAGAGGAGTGAAGAGGGAGGCATGAAGGGATGAGGGACACATCTACAGCCTGAGCAAGACAGGGAGCAAACAGCTGAGGTCATTCCTACCTGGAGACACCGGTTTTGCACCCAGGTGATGCCTATCCACTGGCCAAATCAGCATGGACTTCAGCAGAAAACCACTCAGGCCACGGTGCCACATCCTGCTGAAGGCCAGCCTTGACAATAGGAGGCAGCCTGCTGGGAGGCACAAAAGCGCCTGTGAACGGCCTCATCTGCACATTCACTGAGTGGCTTGCTGACCCAGTGCCTGCCCTCCTGCATCGACTTGGACTTGACCACACAGAGCACTGAAGGGTAGCCTGCAAGGAGCCAGGGGCTGCTCCCCAAACTTGGCACCCCTCACCAGAAATTCCTCAGATTCTATCTTTGCCTAATTTATCCATACTTCTCTTGAGACTACTGAGTTTTAAGTTTACTGCCTCTTGGGAGTTCCTTAGTTCCTACAGAACTAAATGTCTCTAATGACTCACACTCACCTCCTGTAAACTTCCAGAGGGGTCTGTTGCAGCCCTTGCCTCCTGGGTCCCTTCTGCACATCTCCTTCCTTCCCACAAACATCCTGGATATGTGGTGCACAGACAGGCTTCCCTCCTGGAGCCACTACATGTTAACTGCTTTATCTGGACTCTGAGGCCCTCTGTAATGTGGCTTCACTTCGCCTTTCCTCCTTTTCATTTATCTAAATTTCCAGCATCCCATGAGTCTGGTTCAAGTCCCACCTCCTCCAAGAAGCTCAGTAGTGCTGACCCCTAAGCATGCCTCCATGGACCAGGCTGGGGTGCCACCTCTCACTCCAGAAGCCTCTGCGGAGCCCAGGCCTGTGCTGGCTCTTCAAGAAAGGCCCTGCCTGACAGCCACAGCCACCAGTTCACTCTCCTGCTCCTGTAGTAAGCTGCTGATGAGGCTGGGAAGCAGTGGACAGACCCATTCTCCCAACGCAACAAAAGATCAAGATCACACTTTCCCAGCACACCCTGTAGTTAGGCATAGCTATGACCAGGTGAAAACCTTGTGAAGCCAATGAGTGGAATACGGGGTGGGTTATGAGTGGAAATGAAAAGTGCAGATTTGGCTTCCTGTCCTTAGAAATGAAGCTGCTGGCTCTCCATGCTCTTTCCTCAGGGTAGAATATGGACATGGCAGTGACCCAGCTTCAACCATGAGGATGAGAACAATATCCTAAGGATACTGGGTCTCTGGACAGGGCAGACTGTTATAGGAGACATAAATGAACATCCAGCTTCTTTAAGAAACAAAAGTTCAACACTTTTGTCTAACATGTCACTCAAAACCAAGTTGGGATCTAAGACTCCCACCATCCTGACTTCTAGATCCGAGAAACATTCACATTCCCAGAAATGAGGACCCGTATGAAAGAAAATGGAAGCAATTCAACACAATACATGTGGATATAAAGACTTATCCTGGACAGGGTGACACAATCCAGACAGCTTTGTAGCAAAGCACCACAGACTGGAGAGGTCAGACTGGCCTCAGCCCAAAGCTGAGTCAGCTCCACTCTCCCCTGTGCCCCCGTCCTTAAGGAGACTCAGTGAGGACCTGGCCACCTTCCATAGGGAGGAAGGCTGGCCAGGACCACTAAACCAAAGATGTGCTGGCAATGAAAGGAGGGTCCTGGAGATCACCTAAGAACTGGAGAGGCTGTGTTTGGTGGATAGAAGGAGTTAGGGGACTGTGGCCTCTCTCAGATTGCTCAGAGAGAACAGCAACAGCAGGGCCATGAACAGCCGAGCCCCAGCCTGTATGGCTGACCCACCCCCAGACAAAGGGAGAGACATTTCCTCAGGGAGTCAAAGCTTTTATTACCTGATAGTCCCTAGTGTGGTGCCAGAGATACCGCTCTGGTCCTATTACTCCCATGATATAGGTGGTGGGGATGGGGGAGGGGACCAGGGACAGAGGGGAGGGATATTTACAGTGCATGATGGTATGGGGACAACCACTTTCCTCTAGAGCTCTGAGTACTTTGTGCTTTTTTTCTTAGTTGGTGCCGAGCTACCTGGAATGGATTTTATGTTTATCTTCTTTAGGGAAAGATATATTAACCAAAGCACAATCCAGCCCAATTTCCTGGCTGAGGATTTCACGATATCAGTCCAAACATCACACTATTTAATTCCCCAATAAAACATTGGAAAAAGGACTATCAGTGCTAACACATTTACATATAAAATTTCCACCTAATAGGTAATAGAAGCCTATGTACCAATTTCTAAAACAGTTATAAGATATATACACAATTTGGGGTATATTAACAAAACAGAATATTACAAAATATTAAAGGCAATCCTCCTGGTCCACGGACGCTTGTTGCCGCTTACTTGAAGTTGGCATAATCTGAGAATGCATCAATATATTCCTGCACCACCTTGTAGCAGAACTCATACTGTTCCTGGAGAGTGAAAGATAGGGAAAAAGCCAGGGTTACTGAAGAACACACAGTACCTGTAATTCCTAACAGATTCTTTTTTTTTTTTTTTGAAGATGGAAAATCGAGAGGAACTGAATGTTTTTGAACTTTCACCTGAGCTCTGATCTGCCTGCCAGAGTTCTGACAGCATTCCCCTTCTGGGCTGAATGCAGCAGACCTTCTACAAGCAGAGCTGACCAGAGCTGACCCAGGCTCTATAGAGGTCAGACATGCATGTGCTAGGCTGGGAGACAGTGCAACAGAGCATGGCCCACACTTCATGGCTGCCAGGCTAGCATGCACCCTGGCTCTCAGAACCTTGTCTCCCAAACCTACTAACATTCACTTTTCTTTACTCCTCAAACATTTCTAGCTCCATGGGATTCAGGGAAACTTCTGTGGATGTGTGGCTTGTTAAAAGTCAGACCTCTCAACAGGGAGCCCAAGCCCAAAGGCAGGTACTCCTCCTGGATCTTCCTTACCCACAGAGAAGTGCAGATGAGCCCTGTGGGGCACCCAGACACCCCCTTCTAACCTGGCCCATCCTCTGGCAACAGGGGCTATGTTCCCATTGCTGACATCCTGCCTCCCAACGTGCTTTCTGTGTATCTGGGGCACCTTGGGAGGGGAAGGGCAGGTCTGTGTTTAGACAGTCTTCTGACTCCTGGGTGGGCCCCTCTGAAGAGCCTCCTCCCTGAGCTGGCCCTGACAGAGAAGGGCTGCAGGTGGTGTGGTGGCAGGGACAAATATGTGGGCAGCATACCAGTGTCTGGACCATGTGTGGCCTCTGTAGCCGTAGGCTCTTGACAGTCTGGAAGACATCCAAAATCCCCTCTGCTTTCACACGCTCCAGGACGGTGCTCAGGGCACAGAAGGTCCCCGTCCTTCCTGCACCAGCGCTGCAACAGAGCAGACACATTTACCACACCCGTCATGGCCCTCTGTGCAAGGGGGTGAGTGACAGTGGTAAGTGGTAGACAAAGAGGTGGGGGCAGGCAGCCGGTGCTCGCCTTTGCCCTGTGGGCCCCCACCCAGCCTGGACCGGTTCTGGGTCGGGAGGCAGTGTACCCTGTGCCCTTCCTGCATGGCCCCATGTATTGTGGAGGGACTCACCTATTGAACTGTGGGGGATGACCTTCACTCATACCCCACCAGCACGGAGCCATTGCTGTCCACCTGCACATGCTGGCCTGAGTTGTCCTGACCTGCCGTTTGCTCAGGTTAGAACTAGCTCTAGTCCTGTCTTTCCCTTTCCCTGACAAACCCCCTCCCTACACTGGTGTGTATTTGCTGATTCCTTTCCATGTCTCTCACTTTCTTCCTAAATCCCAGGAATCCAGACTCTGACCGTGACGCTATCCCCCTATTCAATGTCATCAGCTGATTTACCCACCAGACACTGAGTGCCTACTCTGAGGCAGAGACTGTGGGATTTAGCAATGTCCCTAGACAAGATGTGTGTTAAGAGAAGGGAAAAGAGGAGTGGGAGTTCTAGGCAGGGTACTCAGAGAAGGCTTGGACAAAGCCCTGTGGCTGCCTGGGACAGCATCTCAGGCCCATGGCAGGTGTGTGCCCAGGGTGCTGAAGGCCATGCAGTTAATGAAAGAAGAAAGGAGAGTGGTGGGCGTGGGGTCAGAGCCAGCCTGTGGTACACACCATCCTCTGCCGGCCCTGGCCAGGAAGCCCTTAGAACATGTTGGGCCTTGTAAGCTGTTGTTAGGATTCTAAGTAAAGGAGTGCATTTTTTCTAAAATGCAATCTCCAGCAACATGCCCCAAACAAAATTCAACTTTTCCCCTCAAACAAGCCTCTTTACTATCTTTCTTCTGCTGGTCACACCAACCCAGGCTCAAACCTGGGAGACACCCTTGACTCTTCTTCTCTTTCACCCTCTGTTCTTAGTCTTGTTCATTTTTCCTCAATGTACAGACAGGGCAAGCCATACCTACAGTCCACTGTTTTTAAGATAATTGCCCTGTTCTCTTTTCCTGTGCTTCTTAAGGAGGCCAGGCCCTTATCTCACATAGCACAACCGGGGTCTCCACTGCCAGTCTCCCTTGCTGCTCTCCTGCCCACTATCCGAACATTAGTCCTCTAGCACTTATTGCGCCAAGTTCTAGCTCCAAGGTCCTCTCTTAGCATCCAATCCTGTCTTGGCATCAATCTTGACTACCATGTGCTCACCAATATCTTGCTCTTGTGTGGCTTTCTTCAGTCTGACCCATGGTCACCAGCTTCCCCTGTTTGCCCCTCCTTGCTTTCTCTCTCCCCCTGAGGGCAAGGGTGAGCCATACCTGCAGTGCACGGTGATGGGGTGGTTCCCTGACTGCTGCTGCTGCTTCTGCACGGCGGCGATGATGCTGATCATGCCCTTTCCGTCACTGGGGATGCCCACTTCAGGCCAGCCATGGAAGTGGAACTGCCGGATCTGCCGGCTCTTATTCTCCTTTGGAAGAAAGGGGATCAGGCAGGCAGGGGTAACCCTGCTTTTCCTGGGGGCAGAGTCCACCCACCACCCATCTTACCCTGGTGTTGGTGACCAGGAGGTCTCGGACGGTGTAGCTCTCACATTCCTCCTCCTTCTTCAGTTCCACTGTAATATCTCCATAGGACACCAGTCCATCGGATGGCCAGTACTGGGCACACTTCTCCTGGAGGGACAAGTTGGAGAGGTGAGGGGCTCAGAGTACCACATGTATAGAAGCAGCACTGCCCACGAGCAGCCTGACCTCTCTCAGTACAGCCACCTCTTACGCTGACACACTTCGTCCTCAAGGTATTGAAAACTTGTAGGATCATTATATCACATCATTCCAATTAGCTTCCGATCCTCACCAGAGACTCAACAGACACTGACGGGGTCTGTAAAGAACTCTGACTACAGGCTCACAGGGTATCCAATACTTGGTGGCTGGAGGGAGAGAAGGAGTGAAAATCTTTGTTCCAATTCCTTTCTTTTTCTCCCATAGGGTGTCTTCATAGTGAACGCTGCTTACATCCTCCAGATTGCTAATTCAGAAAATCCGAACCAATTCACATTCCCAGACAGCCACGGGCTTCATCACGGGCCCAGGCCACAGTATCCTTTCTCCCTTTTACCTTTATCTCTTTGATCTGCAAGGTACCTTCAAGTTGCTAGCACTCGCCTTTCTGTCCTTGCTAGTGAGCAGGAGATGGTCTACTGTCTGTCTTTGCTTGCACCTGGCTCACTTCCCTCTACAGCTCCTTGTGGGAGTGGCTGCGTCTCTTTTCATTTCTGTATTCCCCACACCTTGCACAATGCCTGGCACATGGTAGGCTCTCAGTATCTGGTAAATGAATTTGTTCAATGTCTGCAGAACAAGCCAAGGCATAAATACATAAATATAACATCACACAGTTATGCTGCCCATTTCTTTAGAGAATTTTGGGGTAAGATCTGAGATTCTTCACTACTGGCAATTGAAAATTCTCAACCATACATATAATGTCATTGAAAGATTTGGAAAAAAATTAAGTAGAAAAAGAAGTTGTGAATAGTCTCACAGTCTCGCAGTCCAAATAAAATCATGATTATTAAAGTGGTGAATCAAGGACATGCCCTGGACTAGTGCTCTTCTACCCATGCTCTCTAGGAGCCCTGGGGATGCCTCAGGGATCAGTGCTCTGGGCCTCTCTTCAACCAGAACAGCCCAAAAAAAAAAAAAAAAAAAATTCTCATTAAGGCTCACTTCGTCAGGCATTATAATTAGTTTTTATGGCACTGGTGGGTGGAATGGTTTTTGCTACCATAGTGCCTTCTCAACACTGATTTACACAATGTCTCAGCTGGGATGAAGTCTTGGCCTTTAAAACCATCAGAACCATGAGGTCCCGATGGGTGTGAGAGTCACAGTGTGTGTGTGCTGGAGGAATTAAGCGTGATCTCTAAGACAGAAATACATATCAAGTCTAGGGACCAGATATCAACACTAAAAGTCTCTAATTTTTTTTTTTTCTTTTTTGAGAGAGTCTTGCTCTGTCACCCAGGCTGGAGTGCAGCGGCATGATCTTGGCTTACTGCAACCTCCGCCTCCCAGTTTCAAGTGATTCTCCCACCCCAGATTCCCCAGTAGCTGGGACTACAGGTGTGCGCCACCATGCCTAGTTAATTTTTGTATTTTTAGTAGAGACAGGGTTTCGCCATGTTGGCCAGGCTGGTCTCAAACTCTTGACCTCAGGTGATCCACCTGCCTCAGCCTCCCAAAGTGGGAAGATTACAGGCATGAGCCACCATATCTGACCAAAAGTCTCTAAATTTTGTATACATGGGTGGATTTTCTCTCAACATCTCTGGAAGACCAAAGAGGATTTTTTTTTTTTTTTGAGACAGAGTTTCGCTCTTGTTGCCCAAGCTGGAGTGCAATGGCACAATCTTGGCTCACTGCAACCTCTGCCTCCCAGGTTCAAGCGATTCTCCTGCCTCAGCCTCCCAAGTAGCTGGGATGACAGGCATGCGCCACCATGCCCGCTAATTTTGTATTTTTAGTAGAGATGGGGTTTCTCCATGTTGGTCAGGCTGGTCTTGAACTCCTGACCTCATGTGATCCACCTGCCTTGGCCTCCCAAAATGCTGGGATTACAGGCATGAGCTGCCGCACCTGGCCTCAGAGAGGATTTTTAAGACAAGGAGTGACAATGATTTATATTTTCAGAAGGACCAGCAGCTGCCATATGAAGAACTAAAGGTGGGTTAGAATGGGAGCAGGAGGACCAGTTGCCAGGCCACTGCAGACGAGGCTGCACATACGAGTCATCCCCAGAGTCCCACAGGCAAGCAGTGAGAGACGAGGGCTTGTTTGAATGACAGCAGTTATGCTGGAGAAAAGTGGGGAGGCTCTGCCTGTATCAGGACTTAGTAGCAGACTGGATGTGAGGGGTGAGGAGAGGGGAGTAAGGAAGGTAACTCTCAGATTTTAGACATGAGCAACTGGGCAGAAGGTGGCTATTTATTTAGAAGGCTAGGAGTGGGGTGGACTAGTGTCAGGGGAAGGAGGAAATCAGGAGCCCACATTGGGAAGGGGGACAGGTGACTGGGCTGGAGACGTAGATTCAGGATCCCTGGCATATGGGTTGTACTTAAAGCCACAGGACTGGCTGAGATCCTGAAGGGCTAGTGTGTCAAAAGAAAACAGAGTGGGCTAGTGCCTGAATCTAGTATACTCCAATGTTTTAGAGGAGGAGGTCACAAAGAAATAACAAAGGAACTGCCAGGTGAGTGAGTGGGGTGATGCTGTGGAAGTAAGTGTTCTGAGGAGGAGAAGGGAGGCACTGACTCTATCAAATGCTGCTGTAAGGACAAAAAAAAAAAAAATCAGAAAAGAGAAATGACCTGTGGATTTGGCAAGAGGTCAGTCACTGGTGATCTTGACTAAAGCAGTCCCAGGGGGGGCCAAGCCTGAAAGGAACAGAGTGAAGAAAGAACTTGGGGGGAGAAAGCCAACTCTTTTTTTTTTTTTTTTTTTTTGAGATGGAGTCTCACTCTGTCACCAGGCTGGAGTGCAGTGGCACGATCTTGGCTCACTGCAACCTCCAACTCCCTGGTCAAAGCGATTCTCCTGCCTCAGCCTCCTGGGTAGCTGGGATCACAGGCATGCACCACCACGCCCAGCTAATTTTTGTATTTTTAGTAGAGATGGGGTTTTGCCATGTTGGCCAGCATGGTCTCGATCTTCTGACCTTGTGATCCGCCCACCTTGGCCTCCCAAAGTGCTGGGATTATAGGCTCGAGCCACTGCACCCGGCCGAAAGCCAACTCTTTAAAGAAGTTTTGCTGGGAAGGGGTGCAGAAAAACAGGATAGTAGCTGGAAGGGAAAGTGGGATCAGCAAATTTTTTTGTTTTCAAAAGATAGGAAATGTAACATGTATAGGTTGATGAAAGTAGTGGTTAGAGAGGGGAACTGCTGATAGAGGTGGGAGAGAAGATGGTTATAGCAGCAACATCCCTGAGCAGGCAGGAGAGAATGGGGCCAAAGGCACAGTGGACAGCTGGACTGAGAGATGCAGAAACCCTTTTCCACTGTAACAAGAGAGAAGAGAGTTGGTACAGATTTGAAGAGGCTGGTTGTTTGGGGGTGGGAGGATGACAGTGTTCTTGTCTGATTTCTTGGAGAAGAATGAGGCCAGGTCACAAGCTAAGGTGTGAGTATGATGGGACAGGCAAGAGCAGATGCTGGAGGTTTCAGGAAGAAAAGGAAGAGCAATAGCATTGCTAGGTGGCACCAATTACCCCTATGAGATTTGTGGTCATTAGTTCAATGTGAGAGCATTTGGCACTGTTTTGTGTTTTTGCCCAGTGATGTTTGCTATATCAGATAGAGGCATATATCTGGGTTTTACTAGAGAGCTTGCCATGAAAGTAAGAAAGCATGAGGGATGCTGGGCGCGGTGGCTCACGCCTGTAATCCCAGCACTTTGGGAGGCCGAGGCGGGCAGATCATGAGGTCAGGAGATGGACACGATACTAGCTAACATGGTGAAACCCTGTCTCTACTAAAAATACAAAAAAATTAGCCGGGCATGGTGGTGGGCGCGTGTAGTCCCAGCTATTTGGGCGGCTGAGGCAGGAGAATGGCGTGAACCTGGGAGGCGGAGCTTGCAGTGAGCTGAGATCACGCCACTGCACTCCAGCCTGCGCAACAGAGCGAGACTGTCTCAAAAAAAAAAAAAAAAAAAAGGCATGAGGGAATAAACAAAGGTAATAATGATAATGACATACCACAAAAACTCCAATCAGAAAACTCAAACGCTCAAAAACAAAACTCAAAACACAAAAACAGAGTAAGAAGGAAGGTGAGGACATGTTTGGGGTGGCTGATGTTGAGAAAGTGGAGGCATTAATGGCTCTAAGGACTTGACAAAGACAAAAATGACTGGAGTAAAAGAGAATACTGAGGTGGGAGGAAGGAGGCAGTAACCAGGGCGGATGCCTTGTTGAGATTCTAAAGGTGGTGCAGATACAGGGCAGATCGTGACTTGACCACAGGATGAGGTGGCTGAGGAAGCTGAGAAATAGAAAGACTAAGGATAGATGGATCATCCACATGGTGACTGATGCCTCCAAAACCAGAGTCAGGAACAGGGGCTCAAAAGGAGCAGTAAGCCTGCTGTTAAAATCATCAGTGGGTAAGGGACAGAAGACAGGGAATGGGTGTTCAAGACCAGTAGAAGAAAAGCTGGGGACTGGAGTTACATCTCAGATTTGTGTATTCAGGTTACGGCCTCTGGATAACAGCATCTTAAAGAAGTGAAACAGAAGCTTTTCTGTCTTTTCTCCCACTTTGTCTTCCCACCAGACAGCATGAAGTCTCTTATGCGATCTAAGGCTGACACTGGTGATGGGGACACAGTTTTGTGGAGACTAATGCTATCATGTTTCACTATGCTTTAGAGAAGCAGGATGAGGCCTAGGGTTGGGCTAACCTAGCATGGGAGTTCCTGGCACTGCTCTGACTGCCCAGGCTGATGGTCCAAGCTGCAGCTGCTGAGGGAACCCAAGGCTTACCAGGCATCCTGGTGAACCCTTTTACTTAAAACGGAGCAGAAGGCGGCCAGGGGCAATGGCTCATGCCTGTAATCCTAGCACTCTGGGAGGCTACGGCAGGCGGATCACTTGGGGTCAGGAGTTTGAGACCAGCATGGCCAACATGATGAAACCCTGTCTCTACTAAAAATATGAAAATCAGCTGGGCATGGTAGTGCATGCCTGTAATCCCAGCTACTCGGGAGGCTGAGGTGGGAGAATTGCTTGAATCCTGGAGGCGGAGGTTGCAGTGAGCTGAGACCGTGCCACTGTACTCCAGTCTGGCGAACAGAGTGAGATTCCATCTCAAAAAAAAAAAAAAAAAGCAGGAGATAATTTAAAATTCTTAATTCCTTTGGGATTTTAATTTATATAGGTATAGAATTTATATTTTGGGATTGGATTTTTTTTTCTCTGGGAACTTAATATTGTAAGTGAGGATGGTAGTGTCACTGTATAAATGTAGGCACCTTTCATTGCATCATTTAGGCCTATTGCGTTAATGATCTCTGGAACCTACACTTGACAACATGAATGGAACAGAAAGTGAACTTGGGGTCCAGTGAGGCCTTGTAAAGAACATCACTAATATCCTGTTCTGATCCACTCAGAAGCTTCTGAGGGCAAGCACTACTGTCTGCTTCACTGGCCCTAGGAAGATAGAGCATAAGGTACAGTGGAAGGTAAAGGGAGAGGCCTCACTCAGCGGGTAGGAGAATTTGTGTGTGCATGACTCTTCTCCCCACTGCCATACACATGAAATGCTTCCTGGTCCCCTACCCTTTACTCTTACTAGGTCCTTTTCAAGGATGGAAGAGCCTGCATCTGACAGGACAGAGGTGGAAATGTTCACTGGGCCACATTTTATCACAGGGCAGTGGGCTGAGATGGTCCTTGTGTTCGCGGTTCCAGCTGTTTGGCCTGCTCTTTGGTCCTGCCCATCACATATCTGGAGGGCAGGGGTGCAGGAGGAACCACATGTAGGGCCCCGGTCTTATCTGCAGGTTCCAACATGGTTGATCAGAGAGGGCTGGGAATAGGCACCTAGCTCCTGAGAACACGGTGGCTCATTTCCTAAATGGCCTTTGTTACTCAGGTATGTGCTTCCTTGAGTGCAAAGCCAAGCACCTTAACCAAACCTCCCACCTTGTCAGTATTGTTATTAACGATGATGAAGACGCTGGGCGCGGTAGCTCACGCCTGTAGTACCAGCACTTTGGGAGGCCGAGTCAGGCAGATCACCTGAGGTCAGGAGTTTGAGACCAGCCTGGCCAACATGGTGAAACCCCATGCCTACAAAAATACAAAAATTAGCTGGGCATGAATGGTGGGTATCTTTGATCCCAGCTACTAGGGAGGCTGTGGCAGGAGAATTGCTAGAACCTGGGAGGCAGAGGCTGTAATGAGCCCATATTGTGCCATTGTACTCCAGCCTGGGTGACACAGTGAGACTCTGTCTCAAAAAAAAGAGATGATGGAGACCTACAAAGTATGTCTGTTGATTAGGTACATCATACAAGTCTAAGAAGAATAGCTAATGAGTTAAATGGCTGATTACAATTCAAAAAAATGCCAGGCACTATGGCTCAAACCTGTAATCCTAGCACTTTGGGTTAACAGGTGGGTGGATCAATTGAGTCCAGGAGTTCAAGACCAGCCTGGGCAACATGGTGAAACCCCGTCTCTACAAAAAAATACAAAAACTAGCTGGGCGTGGTGGCACGTGCCTTTAGTCCTAGCTACTTGGTGGGCTACGTGGGAGGATCACTTGAACCTGGGAGGTTGAGGCTGCAATGAGTCGAGATCGTGCCACTGCACTCCAGCCTGGGTGACAAAATGAGACCTTGTCTCAAAAACAAACAAACAAACAAAACAACCTGATGTAATGAAACATCAGGGTGAGCAAATATTGTAAAGCCTTGTACCAAAGTTAACATAAGTACAGATGGGGAACAAGTAGTGACTTGGGACAACTAATGTAAAACATACTTTGTATTTTAAATGTTGGACTATAAATTCAATGAGTCATGAGTGGGTGCCATCTTTAATTCCTCCTCACTTCACCCTCTCTGGGATAGCACCCTCTCACCACCTGAGTCCAGGCCACCAGCATTACTGCCACAGCTTCTGCATTTCTAAAGCGTCCTCCTCACTGCTGCCAGAGGGAGTTTTTAAAAAATACAAACTGGGCCAGGCGCGGTGGCTCAAGCCTGTAATTCCAGCACTTTGGGAGGCCGAGACGGGCGGATCACGAGGTCAGGAGATCGAGACCATCCTGGCTAACACGGTGAAACCCCGTCTCTACTAAAAATACAAAAAAAAAAAATAGCCAGGTGACGTGGCGGGCGCCTGTAGTCCCAGCTACTTGGGAGGCTGAGGCAGGAGAATGGCGTAAACCCAGGAGGCGGAGCTTGCAGTGAGCTGAGATCCGGCCACTGCACTCCAGGCCCATTCTCTGGATTCTGATCCCTGCTAAGTGACACTCCAGACATAATGAATCACTCATTTGCTGCAATGTGCAACCTCAATAGAAATAATTTTTAAAAGAATAAGCATTGTCAAAACACAGACTGGGTTCCCCTGTAATGTGGGGGGTGAGGGAGATATCCCTGAGATTGAATGTGCTTAGTAGAGGCTGTATGATTCTGACTCAGGAACAATATTAGGTTTCCTATACTGAGAGGAAATTGACCTAGGGAACTGCTAGGGTCCCTTTTTAGTATGAGTTTCCATACAACTCTGCTTTTTAATTGACTTGGAGGGCTTTTTTCTTTAAAAGATTTCCTTATTATTGAATATTAGACTGTAAGTTTCTTGTTTGTGCAATTTCTTAAATTCTACTGCTTTATTTTATGTAGTCAGCAATGAGGCAATCCCTTCTTAGGGACACTCATACTGGGTCTACCTCAGAACCTTGATCTAGCTGCCCTGCCTGGGGCACTGGGAAGGAAAGGGTGCCCTGCCTGGGGCACTGTGCAAAGGCTAGGCTAGGGGGACTGTATTCAGGAGAAAGTGAAAGGGTGTGAGCTGTCTGGGAATAACATAGAGGCTCAGATCACACTGCTTTTCTAGTCTTGGGAGAAGCTAACGACTGCCTAGACACCAACTGGCTGGGCAAGCCTGGAAATGCGTATGTATTTATATACCTTTTAAGTATGTACTTATACTATGCAAATGTACTCTTTGGACTGTATAAGTCAAAGACAAGGTCCAAACACCTTCTTGCCTTCCCAACCTCCCTATTTACACACACACCTTTTCATGCTGTCTCTCAACGCCCAGGACCTTTTAAGCTCACCTGGCCTCTCTCCTCCAGTTCTGTTAGCATCACGATAGAGCAGGATTTCCACTCCCAGATCATTCGCCAGAAGTCCTCAATTGTGTGGAGAAGAGGGCCCTGGCTGGCGATATAGGAGTCCTTCTGCCGGTAGCCCTGCACGGGCCAGGTTAATTGCAAGGGTGAGATGGTTTAATCAGAGAGGGACTAGTGGAGAAGACAGGCCACTAGGAAGGGATGGGGACTGCTTGGAGGCAAACTCAGCCCATACAGAGCTCCCCTGTGGCCAAGGACTAAACCCTATCTGACAAGCTGGTTGCTTTCTATAAGAGACAGGGAAGTGGAAACAGGGATTAGAGCTAGGATGAAGAGGACAGGAATGGGAAAGATCAGAGGGCAGCCAGGTTCCTCTTGGCTGTGGTCTGCACTGTGAACTTTTTCTTCCAGGTATTATACTGCTGCATGCCATCTGTTTTTCCCCACCTTCTGCTCTACGGAGCTGGACAAACTTAATGTACAGGGTGAGTGGGTGGGTGGGTATCAATTCACTATTTGTTGACTGATTCAAACATGATCCTCCCCAGCAGGTATGGGAGGGAGGCACTGCAAGTCCTGGCTGGATCTCCATGGGGTGTTGGGGGCTTAGGGGTCACACCCACCACTTACATCAATAAAGGATGCATTCACATAGTCTGTATTCTCTTCGCCCCGCTTAACTGGAATGATCACTCTGTTGAATTCATCTGTAAGAAGGACAGCGGCTCTAGCCAATATCATTTGTCTTCTCCCTCTCCTTGCATTGCTCCCACCTCAGGCCCTGGGCAGACAGAATCCCAGCTGGGCAACGACATGTCTGTTCCTAGCTCATTAGGGAGAAAGCCTTTGGCTTTTACATTCTTTTATTTCCAGAAGCCACTAAGGTGCAACAAGAGGCAACGCCATGTTGTTAACTGGATGCAACAAGAGGCAACGCCATGGTTTTTGTCTACAAGCCAATCATTAACTAGTACCTGAGAAGTGGAAGGGGTGGAGGGAATTGAGGGATGGGGCAATAAGGCTCTGGAGTGGAGGGAGGGCTCTTACATGGAATGATCTGTAAAACACGGTTCTTCTTCATGTTGGCTGGAAGGTTTCCAGTCCGCATCTTGTCATTCTGGATTTTGATTGATGTTAACTTCTGAATTGGGAAGGGGAGGGGAAACATTACTAATCCCAGTAACTGAACTTGACAAGATTATACCTGTCACTCGGCCTGCACCTTCAGGCCACTCTGGCTCCATACTGCTCTTCTCACCAGGGCCCTGACCTCTGTTCCCATATGTTCTTGTCAGAACCCTGAAGCCAAGAGCCTGTTTGGGAAATGCTACCTTCCAGGCTCCTGTGGACTCTCTTGAGAGTCTCCTGGCCTGGAATTTTGTGATCCTGGAGCAAGGGATCCCAGCATTGTAGAGGGAGTGTGTCCACTCTGCAGTTCCACCCCCAGAGGCTGCCTTAGGCTCTTCAAACTTATTCAGAATCGCATCCTCCCTTCCCCTGATTCTGAGGCTCCTTCTTGACATTTGCTATTCAAAGTGTAGCCCATACACCAGCAGCGTTGGCTCCATCTTATTAGAAATGCAGAATCTCAAGCCGGGCATGGTGGCTCATGCCTGTAATCCCAGCACTTTGGGAGGCCAAGGTGGGCGATCAACTTAGCTTAGGAGTTTGAGACCCACATAACCAACATGGTGAAACCCTGTCTCTACTAAAAATTAGCCAGGGGTAGTGGTACGTGCCTGTAGACCCAGCTACTCATGAGGCTGAGACAGAAGAATCCCTTGAACCCGGAGGCAGAGGTTGCAGTGAGCTGAGATCGCGCTATTGCACACCCCAGCCCCAGCCCGGGTGACAAGAGTGAAACTCCATCTCAAAAAAAAAAAAAAAAAGAGAAAGAAATGCAGAATCTCAAGCTCTAACTCATACCTGCTGAATCAGAACCTACATCTTTTTTTTTTTTTTTTTTTTTTGAGACAGAGTCTTGCTCTGTCACCCAGGCTGGAATGCAGTGCTGCAATCAGCTTACTGCAATCTCTGCCTCCTGAGTTCAAGTGATTCTCCTGCCCCAGCCTTCCAACTAGCTGGGATTACAGGCATGTGCCACCATGCCTGGCTAATTTTTGTACTTTTAGAAGTGATGGGGTTTCACCATGTTAGCCAGGCTGGTCTTGAACTCCTGACTTCAGGTGATCTGCCTGACTCGGCCTCCCAAAGCGCTGGGATTACAGGCATGAGCCACCACGCCTGGCAAAAGAACCCACATCTTGACAGGATCCCAAGGAAATCTGTGCATGTGCTATTATTTGAGAAGAACTTCTCTAAGGAAAGTGGTCCTCCCCACCCCAACCCAGAATCTCCTGCTTCTGAGAGAGCACTTTTTTTTTTGAGATGGAGTCTAGCTCTGTTGCCTAGGCTGGAGTGCAGTGGCACAATTTTGGCTCACTGCAACCTCTGCCTTCCAGGTTCAAGCGATTATCTCGCCTTAGCCTCCCCAGTAGCTGGGACTATAGGCATGCGCCATCATGCCCAGCTACTTTTTGTATTTTTAGTAGAGATGGGGTTTCACCATATTGGCCACGGTGGTCTTGAACTCCTGACCTCGTGATCCATCTGTCTCAGCCTCCCAAAGTGCTGGGATTACAGGGGTGAGCCACTGTGCCCGGGCTGGGAGAGTACTTTTACTGATGACAGTGTGAGACATATGCCTTAGGTGTGTTGGGAACCATTGTCTAGTGGCATATAGGAGCTATCAGTGATCTAAGGTCCAGAGGCCAAATGTGGTCTGCTGCCTGCAAATAAAGTTTTACAAAACAGCTACACTCATTATGTTTACCTATTGGTTATGGTTGCCTTTGTGTTACAAAGACAGCACTAAGTAGCTGGACAGAAACCATGTGGCCTGCAAAGCCAAAATATTTATTATCTGGCCCTTACAGAAAAGACTGCTCTTGCTGTATATCATAATCACCTCGGAGGGTTGGGGGCCTTAAAATACTGTTGCCTGCTTCTCCCTACTCAAACACAAATGAAGTGATTCCAACGTGCAGGATGAGCTGAGAATTACTAGAGTATGAGGAAAAGACCACCTCCTTAACCACTGGCATGCCTCACAAGGGGATTCACTGTTGGCAAATGCACAGTCAGGCATCCCATGTTCCACAGATTACAAGGATCTTTCAGTCTGAAGGAGGTTATCCAGCTCCAATTCACCTTAAACTCCTCCTCTAATCCATTGTTGCTGGTTCCTGGAATTTTGTTGTAAATTTTCTGCAGGTGGGTTTCTAGAGAGGTCACTTCCAGTTCTGTATCTCCATAGAGATAATGCTCCAGAAGGGCTTGGTATATGAAGACATACTGCATCTGAAACACGAATGACACACAAGTTCTTGCTTACATACAACATAGTTCTCATGCCAGATCACCCGCTCCCACCCCCACTTCACTCCAGTCCATTTCTCCTTTGATCCTAGCAGGAATAAAAGGACTTCCTCTTATTATCCCAATTTAGTGAAGTGGGACTTGAAATGCAGGAGTCCCTGTGGGGCTGCTTAACTTGGGAAGAAGGGTCCAGGTCTACCTTGGGGGTGGTGGACGCCTGGAGAGAAGGACAAACTCAATTCCTCTTCATTCTGAGAGTGCAGATTTAATAGTCTGAAGGGGCTGTCAGAAACTGGAGACACCCAAAGTCTCCGATAGTCTGGTCCCTGCCTCCCTCCTGGTGCTAGGCTCCAACTGCAGAGCCAGTCTCACTGCTACTCCCAGATATGGCTGAGCTTCATCATGTCTCTGGGCACTGGTTCTTTCAGCTGCCTGTTCCCTAATCCTTGAAGTCCAATAACCTGTCATCTGCCTTCCTGACTCTCCCAGGCATGAAACCACAACCTCCTCTGTGCTCAGTTTCTTTGAATACATAATTTATAAGAGCCCTTCATCACTTCAAGCGGGCCAGCCCCTCCACACCTGTGGGTGTTTCTTGTCAGGGGGGACAAGAGATTGAGAAAAGTAATAAGACACAGAGACAAAGTGTAGAGAAAGAACAGTGGGCCAGGGGACCGGCGCTCAGCATATGGAGGACCCGCGCTGGGACTGGTCTCTGAGTTCCCTCAGTATTTACTGATCACTACCTCTACCATCTCGGTGAAGGGGATGTGGCAGGACTATAGGGTAATGGTGGGCAGAGGGTCAGCAGAAAAACATGAGCAAAGGACTCTTGTGTCGTAAGTAAGTTTAAGGAAAGGTGTTGTGCCTCAATGTGCACGTAGGCCAGATTTATGTCTGACTTTACACAAACATCTCAGTGCAGTAAAGAGCAGTATTGCTGCCAGCATGTCTCACCTCCAGCCATAAGGCGGTTTTCTCCTATCCCAGTAAATAGAACGTATGATCGGGTTTTACACCAAGACATTCCATTCCCAGGGAGGAGGAAACAGATGCCTTCCTCTTATCTCAACTGCAAAGAAGCCTTCCTCTTTCACTAACCCTCCTCAGCACAGACCCTTTACGGGTGTCGGGCTGGGGGACGTTCAGGTCTTTCCCTTCCCATGGGGCCATATCTCAGGCTGTCTCAGCAGGGAGGAACCTTGGACAATACCCAGGCTTTCTTGGGCAGAGGTCCCTGCGGCCTTCCACAGTGCATTGTGTCCCTGGGTACTCGAGACTGGAGAATGGCGATGACTTTTACCAAGCATACTGCCTGCAAACACATTTTTAACAAAGCACATCCTGCACCGTCCTAAATCCATTAAACCTTGAGTCAATATAGCACGTGTTTCTGTGAGCACAGGGTTGGGGCTAGGGTTACAGATTAACAGCATCTCAAGGCAGAAGAATTTTTCTTAGTACGGAATAAAATGGAGTGTCTTATGTCTTCCTTTTTCTACATAGACACAGTAACAGTCTGCTCTATCTTTCTTTCTCCCACAATCACACTGTATTATAATCATTTATAATTACCTGTGAGTCTGAGTGAATCCTCAATGTGAGCAGATGTTTTAGTCCTGGAACCTCCCCCCCCCGACCTGACCCACAGATCACTCACATCCGTTTGCACCATCTGGCAGCGCTGTGCCCGGATCCGGCTCACAAAGCCATACACGTCCACCTTCCGTTCTGTATGCATCATGTCCAGCATGGCATCAATGACGACAAAGGTACCTGTACGCCCTACACCTGCACTGTAGCCAGAAAGCAGGGGGTTATAGGGATGGTTGGCCTGACTTGTGGGAGCAGACAGGGAGGGGCAACACAGGCGGGGGCTCTTCCTTTAGGGTCTAAATCCTAATTCTGAATGGGGTGGAGCTGGGACTCTCCAGGAGCCAACAACTCCAGTATGTCCTGAATCCTGACCTCCAGCTATTAGGACGAAGCATTCTGATACTTAGAAGGGTCCGAAGGCTGCAAATATACATGGCCAGCACTTGACCTAGCCTTTTGGCTTCATAGCAGGGTCTCCCAGCTCCTAATCTTGGAGGACTGCCCTACTCTCCTGCCTCAAGTCATATTCTCCACCCTGCGCTAGAACTTGGAGTCTCTGGCTGTTGCGCTGGTGCCCCAGTAGTTCATCTACTCCGTGTCAGCCTCCTTAGCCAGGGCCCTTGTGCTATTCCCCTGCTCTGGCCATGGGGGCAAAATGTAGGGGTGGGGGGACAAGGGTCAGGCCACACTGACCTGCAGTGGACCACGATGGCCCCTGCATACTGAGGGTTACAGGCCTTCACCTTCTTGAGGAACTTGAGCATGCCGATCGGGGTAAAAGGCACCCCAAAGTCTGGCCAGCTGGTAAAGTGGAACTGAGTGATGAGGCGCTGTGGCTTTCTGTTGGTCATGTCGCCCACCTGTGAAGTGAGGAGATCCTGTGTGTTGGCCCTGATACCCAAGGGTGGGCAGTACCAGGGGAGGGAAGGTGACTGCTGTGGTTGTCAGTGACAATGGAAAAGTGAGTGTACCCAGGGGAGTTAGTTAACCACGGACACAAGATCCCACAACTAGTCAGTGGCAGGGTCAGAACTAAAATGCAGTGCTCCCAGCTGAGCCCTCTTTTCGTAGTACCACACTGCCCCTTGGCTGAAGGTGACCTTTGCTCAGGTCTCCAGGGTTGCCTGGAGGGCTGGGGCAGGCCCATCACATCCTTGACATTAGGAGTCTTTGGAGTAGGAAAGGAGGAGAAAGGTGAGTCAAGCACCTAGGAGACTGCACTGCCTCCTCTTACTCCCTTTGCACAGTGCTTGGTCATATTTAAATGATCAGACTTCATCTCAACAGGTAATTTTTCATCAGTCATGAAAATACTGCTCCTTTAGCTTTGACAGAGAAGTTCCCCTGAGCCCAGATCTCTGGTTTCAGAATTCACATACTGCATACTCAGTAACTCCTGACCACCCTGAGTAAGGGGGGATAACCCAGCCTGTTCCCTCTCTCTTAGTGGTCAGCAGGTCCAACATAAGAACTGAGAAAGGACAGAGGAGACAGTACCTGCTGGATGCAGAACTTCCGTACTGTGTAGTCTACCAGGACAGTCACATCCTCTACAGACACCCGAATATTCCCATAGGTCCAGCAGCCTTGGTCTGGCCAGTACTGGGCGCACTTGCACTGGGAAGAAAAAGACATGCATTTCCTGACCTTAGAACTCCTGCCCATGGCAGATGTAAAGGGCCCGGAAGGAAGAGCCCACAAAGCCCAGATTAAAGTCCCCCAGAGGGCCCTTTGACCTCTTCTCTACCTCAGTCAGCTGCACATTTACTTATTCAAATATGCCCTTTTCTCAAGTTCCTTAGCTGCCATCTATTGAGCACAGTTTCCTAATTTACACACAGCCCTAGTCCCATACTTCTCAATGTTTCCCACCCACACTCCCTTGGTTCAGGGCGAATCTGAAGCCATTTTACCTACAAAATCTGCACTTCCACAACATTTCAGGTCATGCTCTAGGAGAAAGCCTGTTTGAACCCCTCGAACCAGCAGCCTGCTATGAGTGAGCCACCAGGGTGGACTGATGCAGACTGCAAACCTGCCATAAGAAGCCTAGAGCTTTTACTGTTGCCTGGGCTTTGGATAGCTTCCAAGAGCCAGAGGTTTGGTTGGAAGAAACTAACCTAAAGCCCAGCCCTAGCAATGTCTTCCCACGCTACTGTGGAGCTGTTGATCATAACACCCGATACCCTAAGATCAAGGTGACTTGAGAAAGACTGTAACGAATAGGTATTTCTCTCTGGGGCTCGACCCCAGGACCCAGGATTGGCTCTGGTTGTGGCCCAGTGACGGAGCTGGTTAGGCCAGGCATGCACTTGGTAGCCACAAAAGGAAAAGGACCAGTTAGGAGGCTGCTTCCAGGATCAGGCCAAGGCCTCAAATACCCTTTGGCTTGCAGGGTCTCAGTTCGTAAAGCTTCCTCTGCTGATCCAGGATAAACCAAGGGCCTCAGCAGGTGGGGCAGAAAACCAGGGAAATAAGGGACTAGAGAAGCCAGGAGAAAAAAGCCCTTCTGTGGGCTGGGCACGGCGGCTCACACCTATAATCTCAGCACTTTGGGAGGCTGAGATGGGTGGATCATGAGGTCAGGAGATCGAGACCATCCTGCCTAACACGATGAAACCTCATCTCTACTAAAAAAATACAAAAAACTAGTTGGGCGTGGTGGCAGACGCCTGTAGTCCCAGGTACTCGGGAGGCTGAAGCAGGAGAATGGCGTGAACTTGGGAGGCGGAGCTTGCAGTGAGCTGAGATGGCACCACTGCCCTTCAGCCTAGGCGACAGAGCGAGACTCCGTCTCAAAAAAAAAAAAAGCCCCTCTGTGGCTTCTCCTTAGCTGATGGCCCAAGTTAGTCTCTTTCAGGCTGTTTTGGAATCAGGGTGCCTTGTTTGACTACCGAATACAGGGAATGTGCTCTAGGCGCACACCTGAGGTTCATCTGAGGCTTCCAGGCCACAGCAAAGTCTGGTAGACTTCAGCCTGTGTCTTTCTGGATGAACCACTGGTACAGCACCCACAAAGGATAGACAGCCAGGCTTAAACTCAGAGCTTATATGCAGAGTGATCCCTCTGCTGTTCACACCCAATTTCTCCTCTTACCTCCTTTCTCTCCTTCAGGTTGGTAACCATGACGATGGTGGCTGTGTTTTGTTCCCAGATCATCCTCCAGAAATCATTCACCGTTTCTTCTTTTGGTCCTAAAGTAGCCAAGAGCAAAAATAAAGAGAACATACACCAAGAAGAAAGATGCTGGGAGGCTGGGAACATCCATTCCCGACTTTTGGAAGCTTGTGCCCAAATGTGTCCAACTAAATATCCAACTCATGTATCCATCCACCCCATTACTAACTGAGTATTTTCCATGTTTCTACCATGTATGTGCCAGACATTTCACTAGGATGCGGTTAGGGGGAAGGCTGTCAAAATATAAACAGAACACGAATGATGTCTCCCAAGGATATCACAGTTGGGAATTAGAAATAATGACTGCTGACAGAATACCTACATTATGGACCTCACAGTGAGCTAAGTGCTTCATATGGCATTTACTCCTTCCTATTATGCTCTGAGGTGGGTGTCATCAGCCCCAGAAAGGTTGGATGACTTGTTCAGGCTAGAATTCAAAATTTACCTCCCATATAACCTTTTTCAGGAAGTCACTAGAAAATTCTAAACAAAAATGAGAGGCAAACAGAGGAAAATAAATGAGATCCAACACAGCAGAGAAGCTAATGGAATTCCCAGGGTACTGGTCTTAGAATGATAACTCTACCAGAGGATAGAGAGCAACCAATCCACAGTGCAACTGAAGAAAAGATTCTAGAAGGATCCCAAGATAAAAAAATTAAACCTCATGTATCTAAAGATACTGAGAGAAGATATATACACCTGGTAAAGAGTTTGGGAGGAAAATCAGTGGTAGTTATATAAAAAACACAATGACTTCAAAAAAGGGGGAAAAAAACCTATACAAAAAATAACATAATACTGTTTTGGCTATGAATATTTGTAAACTCATAATAATAATAAGTATCACCTTAACCCCAAATTGTGATTTGAGAGGATGGGAGAATGGGAGGATATGTGGGTACACGTCTATTTGACTGAGGGGGAGGTGCTCTGTAAGGGGATCAGATGATGTCATCTACCATAAGAAGCCAATAGGTAAAAATGGTTGCCCCAGGGGCATTAGACTAAAAAAGTGAAAAGAAAAGGGAGGAGAACTTTGTTTTTATAAATCTTGTAGTCCCTAATCACTCTTTCTCTTGAGACAAAGTCTCGCTCTGTCACCCAGGCTGCAGTGCAGTAGTGCAATCTCAGCTCACTGCAACCTCCGGCTCCCGGGTTCAAGTGATTCTTGTGCCTCAGCCTCCCAAGTAGCTGGGATCACAGGTGCGCATCACAACACCTGGCCAATTTTTAGTAGAGATGGGGTTTCACTATGTTGCCCATGCTGATCTTGAACTCCTGGGCTCAAACGATCCTCCTATCTTGGCCTCCCAAAGTGTTAGGATTACAGGCATGAGCCACCTTGCCTGGCCTCAATTACTTTTTAATGCTGCAAACATCCACATATTTTTTCTAGGGTTCCAAGAGTGAAGACACTTGTTAGAACAGCAGGCCTGGAGATGTGTGTAGAACACATAAGGGACATGGTGCTGGGTCCCTGCTCTGAGGGTTCCTAGACCACCTATCTGAATAATGGTGAGGCTTAGGCCCATGAGCTGGGGGAGAACCAGCCTGGACCCTGTGAGGTGGCTGATCCTCTCTGGAAACTGATTCCTAATTCGAACTCTGAGCAGCCTGGCTGGAACCTAAGGTTAACTAGCACCAAGGACAGAGGGCCTCACTAGACTGTGTTTTGTGTATACGGCCTTTTCCAGTCTTTTTAATACACATATACAAAAAGACTTATTTTAATGGGTTCCTGGATACTAAGTCATCAAGATGAAGGCTGTTAGTTGTAAACATGTATGACAGATTACAATTCTTTCAGGTGGTAAAAATTACAGAAAAGCTACAGCATTCTGGTTAATCCATTTAGCATTTGGGAGTAAAAACCCAAACCCATTATGGGATCATGGTTAAATCTAAGAGTAAAAAGTTGTCATTACTTTACCTTGTGCAGCAATGAATTTGTTCTTTTCTTGGTAGCCCTGGGGTGCAGGGAAGGAAAGAAAAAGAAAGAGAAAACCAAAAATGAATAGAAATGAAATTCTCCAGTCTGACTTGAACCAGTTAACAAAACCTGAAAAGGTTCAGGTACTTAACAAGGATAACCAAGTCTAGATATTCCCAAGGGATTAGCTTTGGAGCCAGGAATTAGAGTTTACAGAACTCAAATAGTCTAGGCAGTCTTCTCAAATCGAATTATAACATGTGGCGGCACTGCTTAACTAATACAGAGTAATGAGAATGAGGCAAAGCTATTGATCTTATGTTATGTTCAAGGCAAAGATGAAATGTGGCTCTCTGGCTCCTGAGATGTCTCTAGATTCTGAAAGCTGAATCTCAGTGGGCTCTAGGTGGTAGCTACATTCCTACCAGTAAAAAGAAACATGTCTAAAGATCCTATATATTCTAGGCTGGGCGTGGTGGCTCATGCCTGTAATCCCAACACTTTGGGAGGCCGAGGTGGCAGATCACCTGAAGTTGGGAGTTTGAGAAACCCCATCTCTACTAAAAACACAAAATTAGCAGGGCGTGGTGGTGCATGCCTGTAATCTCAGCTACTCAGGAGGCTGAGGCAGGAGAATTGCTTGAACCCCGGATGCAGAGGTTGCAGTGAGATCACACCATTGAACTCCAGCCTGGGCAACAAGAGTGAAATTCCGTCTCAAAAAAAAAAAAAATCCTATATATTTTTAGACATCTAAAAATGAGTAAGGAAACTGGTTTCTCCTAAGGCTCTAGGCTGGAAGCCCACCTGCCAACTGTGCCACTGTCCCTGTTTCATCTCCTCCTGTGACCAGTGTTAGGTCAGCTGACCTATGTGTTTCCCAAACTACAAACCCCACTTTCCTCGGCCTTTCACCACTACTCCATGGTGCCTAGTTCCCTTCAAGATCCATGTGTGTGGTCTTAGTTCTCTATGCAAAAAGTTAAGTGGTTGCCAGGGGGGTGAGAATGGAGATTAATTGTATTTAGACACTGAAGTTCTTTTTGGGGTGAGCAATGTGCTCTAAAACTAAGGGGACAACAGCTAGAGTACAAGGTTCTTCTTTTGAGGGGATGACAATGTTCTGAAATTGACTGGTGATGGGCTGCATTTATCTGTGAATATACTAAAAAAACACTGAATTGTAAACTCTGGGTGAGATATATGGTATGTGAATTATATCTCAATAAAGTTGTTAGAAAATGTTCTAAAACATTTATGGCGATGGCTGCATAACTTGGTAAACTTACCAAAAATCACTGAATTCTCACTTAAAATGGATGAATTTTATGTTTTATATATTATACCTCAATAAAGTTAGGGGGAAAAAAGGGTTTGATAAGTGTTAACTAGCAGCCCACAAAAAGGATGTAACAACGGCCTCTGAATTTGCTTCAGCAAAGGATGCTGCCCTACACACTAAGCCCAGAGAAAATTTGTTCCTCTTTCCCACTGGATCTCTATCTGTACATAACACTGTTGGCTGCCAAACCCTTCCTGAGCCATGCTTTACTCTTTGCCTTCTCAGATGCTCTCTTCTCTTGGTCTCCTTCCATCTCACCCATGGGCACCTGGTTCAATGTGCCTGGCAGGGGCTGTGGGTCCAAGGTCTCTTTTCTTGCCCCACTCCTTTCTTTAATGACTTCCAAGTCCACAGCTCTAGAGTATTTCCTCTGAGCTCCATTTCAATATGACCAACTGTATGCTGGATACATCTACATGGATAAATCACCCTCCAGTCTCTCATATATAAATCAACCACCAATTCTTGCTAAATTCTACCTCCACGTAGTTTTCACTTCATTGCCGCTTTCTCATCAATCCTCATCATTTGTGACCTGCTATTGCAATAGCCCCCAATTGGTCTCTCCTAAATCCATGTTGTACATGATAGCCGCAGTGATCAATATGTAAATGTGGCCACACTACTCCTTGCCTTGAACACTTTTCAATGGTACCCCATGGCCTAGATAAATTCATCAAAACCCCTCAGCTGTACTGAAAACTGGCAGACACTATAAGGTGGCTCACTTAGCACCCACTCCTGCTCCCTTCTAGCCTGACTATCTTACAGCTAAATTTCCCAGACTCCCTAGCAGCTCAGCAATCCACGAGATCTAGCTTCTTCCTAGCAGATGCTCCCACACAGACTTGGGGTAGAAATGAGCAACATGAGATAATGACTGTGCTAGAAATCTGGTCTTTGGGCAAGCATAGTAGTAGAAGCAACCGGTTCTTCTGCAGCACTGTGCAGAGGTTTCACTAAGACAGTCACATGCTGCATACATCTATAGCTGCTCTGCTCTTTGCTGAGCAGCATCTAAGCCTGGCTCACTGGACCTTCCACAGGTTTTGTAAGATACCTAGTATCTTATAATAAACCCCTTTCTGCTTAAAAGAGTGGATGAAAGGTACACTCTGTAGTCTGCAAGTAAGAACCCCAATGGACACACGTGACATCCACTACCTTTCAAGATCAAGTCTCATCTCCCACCACTTCCCATCTTATACCTTATGACCTAAGACTGCTATTTCTAGTCTCTGTGACTTTGCTCATGTTTCTCCTTTGCTTTGAAGTTTCTGCCCAACTTTCTTCTCCTGAACTCTGACTCACTCTTCAATAATGAGCTCTACTGGGTTACCAGGTTGGGCTGAATGTTTTTTCTCTGAACTCCACAGAACCTGGCAATACCTCCTTTGCACACATAGCACATTACAGGAAATGACCTAACTACCTGTGTAGTATATGAGGGATTACATCTTACCTGTGTAACCTTTAAGCCTACCCACAGTGCTTGGCACACAGCAGGTGCTCAAAAAATGTTGACTGAGTTTAATAAACTGTGAAATCCAAATCTGTAATCTCTGCTCCCCACTTATGGTTAACCACAGGTTTTTCCCTGCTTTTGTTCCCTCACTGAGTTCATAAGGTCCCCCATTTAGCCCTCTTCATCTAAACTCTGTCTACTAATAACTAATAACTGTCTAATAACCATCAAGGCATTATGGGATGCCCTAGTGTAAGCTCTAACTAAACATGGTCAAGGGATAAGCCTATTTCTTTCTACTGTGCTATTACCATGAAGAGATCCCCATCTCAGCTGCTTAACAGCCTTAACATACAATTAATTTTTGTCAATTTTAACCTTCAATGTGGGAAGGGACCAAACTGGTTACGGTGGCAGATGCTGCTGGTTACTAACTCAAAGCCATTCCTCACTTTATTCTTTGCCATCAGAGCCACAATTTTGTTTGAACATTAACCTTTCACTGGCTTGAAAGGTGCCCATTCCCCAGGCTCAGAGGGGTAAATCATGATCATTCTCAAGGTCCTAGCCAGTGATTAGAGAGGGATGTGAACATGTGATCCAATCCTGGCCTGCTGGTCCTGAGGACAGGGTGGTGGGGAGGATTCTGTGAAAAGCCTTCCTCCCTAATAGACAGAAAATCATAGGCAGGTATGTTCCTCTTCTGTGCAGGATGCTGTGTTTACAAATAATGCTTGGGACTACTGCAGCCATCTTGTGACCATGAGACTGTTGACAGGGCTAAGCATAACTAAGTAGAAAGATGGAAGCACCTGGGTTTGTAAGGATGTCACTGACCTATGGAATCAGCCAACTCAAGAACTTGTCTGCATTTGCTTTCATATTATGAGACAAATATATGTTCCCAGCTGGGCACAGTGGCTCACATCTGTAATCCCAGCACTTTGGGAGGCAGAGGCAGGTGGATCACTTGAGGCCCGGAGTTCAAGACCAGCCTGGCCAACGTAGCAAAACACCGTCTCTACTAAAAACACAAAAAATTAGCTGAGCATGGTGGCACATGTCTGTAATCCCGGCTACTCGGGAGGCTAAGGCATGAGAATCACTTGAGCCCAGGAGGCAGAGGTCATAGTAAGCCAAGATCGCACCGCTACAATCCAGACTTGGTGTCAGGGTGAGACTGTCTCCAAAAAAAAAAAAAAAAAAAAAAAAAAAAAACAATGTTCCCATCTAGACAACTTTTAGTTGAGTATTCTCTTACCTGCAGCTGGACACACTAACTGATCTTGCGTTACTCTTCTGCGTAACATTGAAGTCAACCTATTCCACCTAATCTCTTCATCATGATCTTTGAAGTAAGTTCTAGGAATTCCTGCTGATTAATAGCCTTTCTCCATTTTCCTTATTGACTGCAGCAATTATTTGTCTAGTCAGGGTCCCTTTCCTTAAAACCACAAACATGTAAATATTAACGTTAAACATACATACAGGAACTTCAGCAAATTCACTCCAGTGAGAATGCCTGGACTGCCCCATTTCTGAAGTCCATCTAATAGCCTATTTTTTGGATACAACCTCTTTTTCTTTCATCTTTCTCCTTTTCTTATGCTGTTCTTTCGTTTTCTCAAGATCTCCAGTTCCTCAATCCTACCAGTTTTTCCTAGAATATTAGTTTATTCCTAACAACTTCCTGATGCTTTTCTTTTCTACTGAAACTGAAGCCCTTGGTTGACTACTTGAACCAGCAACTGACCTTCCCTTTTGTCTGAGTACCACATGTTCTCTGCATTTACCACCAATCCCAGGGTGCAGATGAAGAAAAAAAAAAGAAAAAACAAATCATACAACTCAGCACCCCCCAACCCCCATCAATGACATCCCATTGTAGGTAGGCAGGCCCTCAGTGCAGCTAGACATGCCCTTCACTTTCTCTCTTCAGTATCCTTTTCTCATGGACCTTAGAAGCTGTTCCAAACTTTCGCTGCTCTCATGTCACAGTCCCATCCCATTTGTTCAGTAGACAACCATGAAAACATAGGTGAGTTGCCTCAGCTTGCTTTATCCACACCTACAAGTCATCTCTATCCATTCTGTCCTCTCCTTTAACACTCTCAGAGGAAGAAACAGCCCTTCTTATGTTCACACTAATCTCTCCATCAGTGTTCTTTTTTTTTTCTTATGGTAAAATACAACATAAAATTTACAATTTTAGCCATTTTGACTCTTTTTTTTTTTGAGAAAGAGTCTCACCCTGTCGCCCAGGCTGGAGTGCAGTGGCGCCATCTGGGCTCACTGCAACCTCCGCCTTCCAGGTTCAAGCAATTCTCTGCCCCGGCCTCCCTAGTAGCTGGGATTACAGGCGCCTGCCACCATGCCTAATTTTTGTATATATGTATTTTTTTTAGTAGAGACGGGGTTTCACCATCTTGGCCAGGTTGACCTCAAACTTCTGACCTCAAGTGATCCACCTGCCTTGGCCTCCCACAGTGCTGGGATTACAGGTGTGAGCCACCGTGCCCGGCCGATTTTAGCCATTTTAAGTGTACAGTTCTGTAGCATTAAGTATATTCACACTGTCGTGCAACCATCACCACCATCCATCTACAGAACTTTTTCATCTTCCCCAGCTGAAACTCTGTACCCACTCCTCATTCCTCCCTCCCCCAGCAACCACTATTCTACTTTCTGTCCCTATGAATTTGACTGCTCTACATATGTATATATAGTCTATATTCTATATGTACAATCAAACAATATTCGTCCTTTTGTGACTGGCTTATTTCACTTAGCATGATGTCTTCCAGGTTCATCCATGTTGTAGTATGTATTAGAATTTCCCTCCTTTTATTTTTATTTTTTTATTTTTTATTTTTTTTGAGTCTCGCTCTGTCGCCCAGGCTGGAGTGCAGTGGCCGGATCTCAGCTCACTGCAAGCTCCGCCTCCCGGGTTCACGCCATTCTCCTGCCTCAGCCTCCCGAGTAGCTGCGACTACAGGCGCCCACCACCTCGCCCGGCTAGTTTTTTGTATTTTTTAGTAGAGACGGGGTTTCACCGTGTTAGCCAGGATAGTCTCGATCTCCTGACCTCGTGATCCACCCGTCTCGGCCTCCCAAAGTGCTGGGATTACAGGCTTGAGCCACCGCGCCCGGCCAATTTCCCTCCTTTTAAAGGCTGAATAACATTCCACTGTATGCATGTACCACATTTAATTTATTCACTCATCTGTCAATGGACACTTGGAGTGCTTCCACCTTCTTTTATGACTAATGTTGCTATAAACATGCAAGCGGAAATTTTATCCAGTCTTCTCACGCATCTTGCATCAAGAGCCAGACTTGCTTTTGCCAGCTTTCCCTCTCTCTTTTTCCTGTTCAAATTCACTGTCTCTATAGGATCCTTCCCCAAAACCTATAAAACATACTCTTATCTCTTTATGTGTTTTTTCAGGCTACTGGCAAAGACAAAACCAACCAAACAAAACCCTCAAATATCTCACACAGAATGTTCTATAAACATTCTCTAAATCATCTTTAAAAACCTCCTCTTAGTAGCAACTCTTCCCTCAGGCCTTGGTTCATATATGACTAACCAGATAGTCATATATATATATACACACATATATAATACATAACATAGCTGGTGTCATGTCAGGTATTCTTGTCCTGTTCTCCCTTATTTTTACTGTTGAGGGCAAGGCCTGCTTTTATTTGTAATTAGAATCAGCTCAATAAAGGATTCACTGACTCTTACCATAAAATACATATTTAGATACAGATTTCTACATGGGAAACCTTAGGGAACGACAAGAGGGTAAATTTAAGAAAATGATTAAAACTATTTGACTGACCATAAAAAAAAAATTCAGTCACTTAAAAAAACCAGGTTTGTCACAGAAAACATGAAACGACAAATATTTCTTCTAACACACAGCTGTGGAGAAGCCAAGAGATGGTGGCAATGGTCAGGCAGGGAAGTGAGGGGGAAAGCACCCGCTCCTTACGTTGATGAATGAAGCATTGATGTAATCAGAATCTGGAACCCCTTCGACTGGTGTCAGGTGGACTCTAGAGTGGTCATCTAGGAAACAAACCACAATATTTCAGTAAAATCAAAATTTATTTCTCACAGAACCTGATGCAACCAGGACAGTTGAGACATCTGTGCCTATGTGCACTGACTCATACTTGTATAAAGATGCCACTCCAACAATATAACACCGCAAAAAATTGGGAATACCTTAACTATCATTAGGGGACTAGTTAAATAAATTAAGATACATCTACAATGTGGAATACTAAGTAGCTGAGAAAAAGGAAAGTTTCTTGACAGATGAACTGACAATATATACTGTTAAAAGAGAGAAATGTGTACAGTATACTAATCATATTAAAAAATATGTATTATATACACACATACCCACACCCACACACATACACACATCCCCCTCCTCCAACATATGCACATAAATAAGAAGACAAGGCCGAGCACAGTGGGTCACGCCCATAACTCCAGCACTTTGAGAGGCAGAGGCAGGTGGATCACTTGAGGTCAGGAGTTCCAGACCAGCCTGGCCAACATGGTGAAACTCTGTCTCTACTAAAAATACAAAATTAGCTGGGTGTGGTGTCTGGCATGTGCCTGTAGGTAGTCGCAGCTACTTGGGAGGCTGAGGCAGGAAAATGGCTTGAACCCAAGAGGTGGAGCCTGCAGTGAGCTGAGATCATGCCACTGCACTCCAGCCTGGGTGACAGAGTGAGAAAGAAAAAAGAAAAAGACAAAAGTATCTGTAAATGCATAGTGTAGTGGTCCTAATTTTTTGGTTCCATACTTCACTTATAAAAATGTAAACAGGCATCTCTAATATATGCTCATTTATTGACAAATTATGCACATATGCTAATGTATTATGTACCCTGAAATATAAAATTTTTAGGGTCTGGGTGTTGTGGCTCATGCATGTAATCCCCATTCTTCGAGAGGTCAAAAGTGGGAGGATTGCTTGACACCAAGAGTTTGAGACCAGGCTGGGCAACACAGCAAGACCATGTCTAAAAAAAAAAATTAGCCAGGCATGGTGGCATGAACCTGTAGTTCTAGTTACTCAGCAGGCTGTGGCTGGAGGATTACTTGAGCCCAGGAATTCGAGGATACGTATCTACGACACATCATTGCATCCCAGCTTGGGTGGCCCTGTCTCTAAAAAAATAAATGAAATAAAAAATTTAAAAGGATGAATTTTTATTTTTATTTTATTTTATTATTTTATTATTTTATTTTTTTTTTGAGATGGAGTCTCGCTGTTGCCCAGGCTGGAGTGCAGTGGCCGGATCTCAGTTCACTCCAAGCTCTGCCTCCCGGATTCACGCCATTCTCCTGCCTCAGCCTCCTGAGTAGCTGGGACTACAGGCACCCGCCACCTCGCCCGGCTAGTTTTTTGTATTTTTTAGTAGAGACGGGGTTTCACCGTGTTAGCCAGGATGGTCTTGATCTCCTGATCTTGTGATCCGCCCGTCTCGGCCTCTCAAAGTGCTGGGATTACAGGCATGAGTCACCACACCCGGCCGGATGAATTTTTAAAAAGCAAATATACTGGCTGGGCTCACTGGCTCATGCTTGTAATCCCAACGCTTTGGGAGACTGAAGCAGGAGGACTGTTTGAGGCCAGGAGTTTCAGACCAGCCAAGGCAACACAGCAAGACCATCTCTATAAAAAGTAAAAAAATAAAACATTCACAGGTTCTGAGGATTAGGAAACTTTTTTTTTTGAAAAGCAAATATAAAAATCAAGTGAGGTTCAAACATCTTCCTCTCATATTTCATTAAATTATGCATATCTCATTCTGGATACCAAAGGCCTAGAAAAATGTCTGTTGACTTATGGATCAACTGATTAGCAATGGCTAACTCTGGGAAAGGTTTATACAGAGAACTCTGCATTAGAATTTCTTTTTTTTTTTTTTTTTTTTTGAGACAGAGTCTGGCTCTGTTGCCCAGGCTGGAGTGCAGTGGCCGGATCTCAGCTCACTGCAAGCCCCGCCTCCTGGGTTCACGCCATTCTCCTGCCTCAGCCTCCCGAGTAGCTGGGAGTACAGGTGCCCGCCACCTCGCCCGGCTAATTTTTTTTGTATTTTAGTAGAGATGGGGTTTCACCGTGTTAGCCAGGATGGTCTCGATCTCCTGAACTCATGATCCGCCCGTCTCGGCCTCCCAAAGTGCTGGGATTACAGGCTTGAGCCACCGCGCCCGGCCTAGAATTTCTTTCAAAGAATACCACAAAAAACCATCTCTACCACCACTATCACCCGCTGCTTCCTGCCTGATCCTAGTGAAGCTGGCTCTCCAGAACCTCCTAGAAACTTGAGGCCTGACACAAAAATCCTCCTGGATCATCCTAACCGACTCTGAGTATGTGGGATCAATAAAGGCTCTTTCAGACCAAAGTCTTCCACCTACTCTATTTATTTATTTTAATTAATTAATTTATTATTACTTATTTTATTTATTTTACTTTATTTTTTTGAGACAGGGTCTTGCCCTGTCACCCAGGCTAGAGTGCAGTGACACGATCTTGAGTCACTGCAACCTCCGCCTCCCTGGGCTCAAGCGATCCTCCTACCTTAGCCTCCTGAGTAGCTGGAATGACAGACACACGACACCATGCCTGGCTAATTTTTTAAGGTTTTTGTAGAGATGAGGTCTCACTATATTGTCCAGGCTAGTTTCAAACTCCTGGGCTCAAGTGATTCTCCCACCTTGGCCTTCCAAAGTTCTGGGATTACAGGTATGAGCAACTGAGTCCTGCCATGAACCCACTCTTGTTATCCACCCTGCTGTGCCCAACTGGAAGATTCTTTCCATCTTCAGAAAATCCCTCTAGAGATGTAATTTCAGGTTACATCCCAAGAAACACTAAAGGCACTCACAAGGCAAGATGTTTACATATCGATTTTTTTCCTTGTTTTCCTCCTTGGAAGCAGCCTCACAGGTGGCCTGGATAGGACATGCAGGGAGAGCCTGAAAGGTTAAGAGAAATTAGAGGAATTATTAGCAGGGATAAACATCAAACATGCAAACTGCTGCACCAAACCCTGACCCAGAAGCACATTCTACCTTTTTCCTGGGGGGAAAAACATGGGCCCAGGTTATGCAGCCTAACATAGAGAATGCACCTCTCCCCCTAAACAGCCATAAGCTCCTTAGAGTTCAACAACACAAGAATCTTCGGGGGGCAGAATGCCCTTTCTGTTATGTAAGTATAGCATGCTCTTTACATGATTACTACGTGGTTAGGAGCCTGTCGTTATGATGTTAGGCCAAAATGGCCTACCCTTGTAAATGGGAATGGGGACATAACTGAAGGAATGGGCCATTTATCCTCATGTTAATTACCACCACACAAAGATGACATGCATCTCAGAGTGAACCATACAGGAGGGTTCTGGATGGCCAGCTGATTTAATATCTTTCTAGGGATCTAAGGGGGCATGGTACCCCAGCCTCTAGCATCATGTGGCAAGGAAGCAAGGACTGGTGGGTGAGTGGGAGGGCATTCATATGGATGCAGCAGTTAAGAAGCAGAATATTTGGGTGAGGTGACATTAAATTTGCAGCAGTTTTGGAGCAAATGTAAATTAGTTAGTGCAGGGAGGTTATCACAATGATTTGACATGAGATAGTGTGGGTTTCTATGAACTTGAGCACATCTGTTTTCTAGGTCCAGTTTCCTCATCTGTAAAATTGGGGCTGGGTGAAGTGGCTAATGCCTGTAATCCCAGCACTTTGGGAGGCTGAGGAGGGTGGATCACCTGAGGTCAGGAGTTCAAGACCAGCCTGGCTAACAAGGAGAAACCCTGTCTCTACTAAAAAGACAACAATTAGCTGGGCATGGTGGTGCACACCTGTAACCCCAGCTACTCAGGAGGCTGAGGCAGGAAATCGCTTGAATCCGGGAGGTGGAGGTTGCAGTGAGCCGAGATCACACCACTGCACTCCAGTCTAGGCGACAGAGCGAGACTCCGTCTCAAAAATAAATAATAAATAAATACATAAAATTGGAACAACAATATCTGCCACACAAAGAGATAATCTCACGTGTGGCAAAGAATAAGTATTCAAATAAATCAGTTTTATGAGAGTGGGAAGCTAAATTTTATTATTTGATCTGTTCTCCTCTTGTATGTTTCATATATAAAATTAAGGATGAAAAAAGGAGCTGGGCGTGGTAGCTCACACCTGTAATCCCAGCACTTTGGGAGGTAGAGGTGGGAAGACTACTTGAGGCCAGAAGTTTGAGACCAGCCTGGGCAACACAGCAAGATCTCATCTCTACATTAAAAAAAAAAAAATTAGCCAGGTATGGTGGTGCATGCCTGTAGTCCCAACTACTCAGGAGGCTGTAGTCCTAACTACTGGGAGGAACACTTCAGCCCAGGAGTTCAAGGCCATGATCACACCACTGCAGTCCAGCCTGAGTGACACATACAGTGAGACTCTGACACTATAAAAACAAGTAAGAAAGCAAAAAGGGAGGCAGTTTAAAATTCCAACCCTAATTCCGAGCAAGTGACTTGGAAATACATTTTATGAGCCTTAAGAAAACTTTTTGAAAATACTTTTTGACCCAGCAATTTCATTTCTGAGAACATACCCTAAGGAAATAAAAATCTTTATGTCCTAATTATTTACTTCATCATTATTTAGAATGACCCAAAACTGAGAACAACCATAGTATTCAGCAGTAGAGGAACAATTCATGCATTACTTTTCATTCATTCTTTCAACAAATATATATTTTGTACCTACCAGGCACTGGGCTACGTACAGAGCAAAGAGTGGGGAATCAAATATAAGTGCAGTTCTTGCCCTCAAGGACAATATAAACTTGTGGGTGAAAAGCAGACATTAAACAAATAAAACAAATACATATATAATTATACACCACCATGAATGCAATCAAAAATAGACTGCTACTAGAGATGAAGTATCAAGCGCCAAATTTGGATTACAGGTGGGTCTCTCTGAGGAAGGATGAGTGTAGAAAATAGTATTCCAAGCACAGAGAACAGCATCTGTGGTAACCCGGAGGTGGGAGAAGGCTTGGTTGTATGAGGAACTGAAAATCAGTGCAGGTGTCACGCACAAGGTGAAGCTGGTGGGGATGGCAGGAGGAAGTAGGAAGAGATGAGCCTGGCAGTCAGATCATCCATTTCCAGGTAGGTCCTTAATAGGGAGTTCAAATTTTATGCTAAGTGCATGAGGAAATCATTGAAGGTTTTTAAAGTGTGATCCATTTTCCATGTTAAAGAATTACTTGTTATTACATGCAAAAATGGACTACAGAGAAGAACTGAAGCATGGAAAAATGATGATACATGGAAATGGATGCATTTGAGACATATTCTGTAATTAGAATTACTACATTTGGGCCAGGTGCGGTGGCTCACGCCTGTAATCCCAGCACTTTGGGAGGCCGAGGTGGGTGGATCACCTGAGGTCTGGTATTCGAGACCAGCCAACCAACATGGCGAAACCCCATCTCTACTAAAAATACAAAAAATTAGCTGGGTGTGGTGGCACATGCCTGTAACCCCAGCTACTTGGGAGGCTGAGGTAGGAGAATCGCTTGAACCTGGGAGGTGGAGGTTGCAGTGAGCCAAGACTGCGCCATTGCACTCCAGCCTGGGCAGAAAGAGCAAAACTCCATTGCAAAAAAAAAAAAAAAAAATTTACTACATTCGGAGATGGAATGAAGGCAAAGTGGACTGGGAAGAGCAAGAGGCAGAAATGAATAATGAAGGTTTCTATCTTTGATGATGATAATAATAATAATAATAATAAAAAGATTGAATAAAGGAAATGCCAGCCCAAAGGGAACCAATTTTTGTCAGATAGAAGCAAGAGTTTTTTTGATTTTTTTTTGGAGACAGGGTCTCACTCTGTCGCCCAGGCTGGAGTGCAGTGGCACCATCATAGCTCACTGCAGCCTTGAACTCTCGGGCTGGTGGTATCCTACTACCTCAGCCTCCTGAGTAACTGGGACTACAGGCATAGCACCACCATGCCTGGCTAATTTTTTAGTTTTTATTTTTGTAGAGGTGGATCTTGCTATGTTGCCCAGGCTGGGAAGCAAGAGCTTTAAGAAAGGAGCAAATATATTTACTGGAAACCAGCATGACAGTGATAGGATAAATTAAAGTAAAAGACCCAAAGACAGGAAAATTGGGACCTCATAATCCATCTGCCCTTACCTACTCAAGAGATTTCCTTTCAGAATTAAAACGCTGGAGGTTCTGCATGTTATTTTACTAACAGAGGCAATTACCCCTGACCCTATGCTATGAATACATAAAAGGAAGAAAAGAGTTTCCTGGGCTGGACTCTTACACATGCAGTAGAGACCATTATTTTAGATCAGAATTTCCCAATTCACCCACAGTTTGCATTCTCTTTCTTCACATAGATTTCCACAGGTTTCCACCCAAGTACAGGGCAGGATGAGATGTCAGTTTTTGAAGCCCTGATGGCTAATCCAGAGGAACTACTTTTCCTGCACATCTCTTCTCTAAAATGTAGAACAGAAGTAGGGACAGCAAGACTCTTGAAAACAGTCTTCAATACAAAAATATCAGGAGTAACAAAGACTACATCTCACAGCCCTATCAGCATCCCTAGCTCCTCCAGTCATGATAAAGAAAAACTAGGTCTCAGGTGGACTAAGTCTCCTAAAAAGAGTCAGGAAGAAACAGGAGCTACTGTTTAACAAGAGAGAAGAAAGGGCTTGCCCTGGAGAACACAGCGCTAGATGCAAAGGTTCGGAATGATGAGCCTACGTCAGAGATGAAAACAAGGTGAATCCTACTCCTTTTGGTTTCTTTTTTTTTTTTTTTTTTTTTTGAGACGGAGTCTTGCTCTGTCGCCCAGGCTGGAGTGTAGTGGCTAGATCTCAGCTCACTGCAAGCTCCGCCTCCCGGGTTTACGCCATTCTCCTGCCTCAGCCTCCCGAGTAGCTGGGACTACAGGCGCCCGCCACCTTGCCCGGCTAAGTTTTTGTATTTTTTAGTAGAGACGGGGTTTCACCGTGTCAGCCAGGATGGTCTCGATCTCCTGACCTCGTGATCCGCCCGTCTCGGCCTCCCAAAGTGCTGGGTTGGTTTCTACTCTGAAACACTTAGCTCACAGAGCTAGGAAGGAGCAGCTAGAGCAGACGCCTATAAAATGTTAAACTCTCTAGAAACACTAGGTGGCATCGAAGATTGTTTCATCTCTTGCTCAAGCCTTAATTGGAACCATGGCTAAGTACTCATTAGCCTTTTTTTAAAGACATGTCAGTTAAAAAAAATTTTTTTTCAAACTTGTTATTTTTTAAAAAGTATCCATCACATAATTTAACTTAGAAGTTCTCTTCGGGCTCCTCTTCTTATATCCTCTTCCTTTCCCTCTCACTGGTAAATCTGAACTTTTATATTTATCATTACATCACTTTATTTGTATTTCGTATTTTTTGCATCCAAAACAATATATTATTATTGCTAGTCTAGTTTTTGAGGAAAATGGAATCATGATTAAGTGGTGGTTGCTTTTTTTTTGGCTCAACATTACGTTCCTAAGATTCATCCTGGATGTTTGCTTACTTCTGCTACTTTGTAGTGCTCCATTTGAGACCATGTCAAAATTTACTTATCCATTCTACTACTGATGAATATTTGGGTTGTTTACAGTTAATGGTCCTGCTTTGAGACAAGGCAAGAGCTTTAAGAAAGGAGCATATCTTTCTTGTGCATATGTGCAAGAATTTCAGGTATAGGAATCTTTAACCTTACCAGATAAAGCCAAATTGTTTTTCAAAGTAGTTGTACTAATTTATACTCCCATCAGCAATGTACATGTTCCAGTTCTGTATCCTTATCAACATTTGCTACTGTCAGACTTTGTATTAAATGTAGTTCTGATTTACATTTCTCTGATTATTAATGAGGTTCATCATCTTTCCACTGCATACTGGTCAAAACAGTTTC